AGGGGTGAAGCACTGGCATGCTTCCAAAAAGGCTGCCCTCAAAGAGAGGCACCTTTTGTTTCTGCGGGGCAAAGTTGGGCGATCGTGAGAGCTTCTTTCTTTTCTGTCGCGAAAAAAAAGAGTGTCTCTCTGCTATATGTGGTGCTCCTGGTCTTTTGTTTGGGCTTTTGAATCACAGTTGTCGTATATACTGGTGTGGATCTTATAAGCAATCTGCATGGATTCTCTTTGGTTAGTTTATGGCTTTGGGCCTGCGAATTTTCGGAAAAGTCCTTACTTCTGCTGTGGATCCTTTACATGTGGTGTCTGCGATTGCAGAGCAAAACAAACTCATGCCGGTGATTTTTTTAAATCCTTTACATGTGGTGTCTAAGTTTGCAGCCGCAAATATGAGTTCCATGTTTGTGTTTGCATAATGTTTTTATGTGTTTTGTCATGTTTTTAGCTCACCAGAAAATTTACGTAAATTTGGTCATTTTACACTAAATCCTTCGTTTACAGTAAATCAAGCCAAAGTGTAAAATTAGGTAAACAGCAGACTCAGGGCATGGCGTGGACCGGACACAGGGGGTGCGTGGCCACGCCGCAGGCGCAGCGCAGCGAGCGCCGAGTCATGACCCGCTCGCCGCCCTGGGCGGTCTTGTGGAGCGGTAGCTCCAGCGTCACCAGGTGCTTGGTGAGCACCACGTCGCCGACCAGTGCCCCGGCGATTTCGATCTCCCTGAGCATGAACCACGTGGCCAACACCAGGACGTCGGTGGCGTGGGGGACGGCGACCGGGTCAAAGGCGAGGTCGCACCGGTAGGTCACGAGGGCGCCAGGTCGGCGAGGGGGAAAGCTTCCTTAAGACGAGTCCCAGGGAGGCCGCGCACGATGGACTTCACCGCCCTATTGGCCAGGCGGCGTAGGACGGGCGGGACCTCCAGCCCAAGGTCGTGCTCCTGGTAGCGGAAGGCGGCCAAGAAATACTCCTTGGCGCTGCGGTAGCCCCCCTTCTTGAAGGCCGCCCCCAGGGCCTCAATGGTGTCGGCGGACACCGGCCAAGGATCGACCTTGCCCTGGTAGGACAGGGCCATCCACGTCTTAAGCCGGGACGCGTTCGCCGGCAGCAGGGCATCCAGGGCCGCCCGCAGGTTCGCCCGCAAGGGCACCCGCCGGCGAGGGACGTCGGGCCGTCCCGGATCCTGGGCCGACGACACCAGGGCCAAGTCGGTGACCACAGCTGGCGGCGGCGGGGCGGCCAGCAGCGCCTCAATGGCCGACGGCGGGACGCCTGCGGATGCCAAGGCGTCGATGCGAGAGAAAAGGTCGGGGATGCACCTCACTCCAGCCGCCCGCACCGCTGGCAAATGGTCGGTCTGGCCCGCCCGGCGCGCCAGGGCGACCAGCTCGGCGAACGAGCCCCGAGGCGGTTCCGCCATGTCGACGATCACCTTAGAAACACTGAGCCGAAGGGATCCTCGAGCCAGGCCCTGCGAGGGGCTTGAGCAGTCGAGCCAACCTTAAGGGAAGGGTGGGGGAGGGGAGAGCACGCAAGCACAGGCACAAGACTTTTGACCGCGCCCGCGAAGGCGGTGAGATGCAAAACGGGCGGACGCCCCCAAAGAGTGAGACGGCCGCGACGGCAAGGATGTAGATGCCGGCGAGGTCGAAGTAGCCACGCCCGAAAAAGGGGGCCCCGCAGTGACGAAGTCAGCGGTCCCGCTCGCCCGGAGAGTCCGGGGCGCACCTGGCGCAGTTATGGTGCGAATGAGGCCGCCCCGTCACCGGCGGGTAACTAATAGGGCGGAGGCAGCGCCCGGCGTAGGGGCACCGACTGGCCGATTGCGGCCGCCACCATGGGCCCGGGCATTTGGCGAAGCACCACCCTATAAAGTAGGTGCCATCAGACGGCGGCTCACGGGGCAGCTTGCCGCCCTGGACGTTCGGAGGCAGGCTCCTGAGGAATATGCCCGCCACTGTCGAATTGGGCGGGAGCACATAGCTGCCGTCGGCGACGCTGCGCTCCAGGGACTCCGCCCGATCCCATGTATCGGCAGCCGCCCCGTCGAGGCCGAGGGGCATCTCGGAGTCGAAGAAGTCCGCCCCAGGGCGGTGCTTGGCCTGCCGATAGCGCTCCCACCGCTCCTTGGCAGTCATTGACGAGCCAGCCTGGCGATGCAGGGACCGATTTTTGGTCCCGTAGCCGCCCCGGCCACTGGGCGGCACGCCCGCGCAGGCGGAGGACGCTCCAGGCGAGGATGCCACCGGCGGCGGGAAGGGCGAAGACGAGGTCGGCGGCGTAGTCGAGGATGAGGTGGCCTGCGGCGGGATGCCCGCTGAGGCGCTGGGCGGATGGTCGCGCTCAGGGTGCGCCCCACTCTGCGGGACAATCACCTCCGGCTCCGGATGCCCAGCCGGCTTGGCCGGGGGCGGCGGCGACGTCATTTCCCGCATCTCGCGCTGGGATGCGGAGCTGGAGCATCTCGTCGTAAGTGACGTCGAAGCTCAGCGGCCCCATACCGGCCAGCGCCCGAAGGGCGTTCTCCTGGGATATCGCCCGGCGCTGCCGCTCGTCGGGCGTAGGTTCCACAGCGGCCGGTGCTGCGGCCGGCGGCGGGGCTGGCGCCTTCTTCACCGCGGAGGCCCCGACGAAGGCGCCGCCGAACCAAACATGCCCGACGGCTGGCGTGTGCCTGCCCCTTGGGCTCCCACCCCCGTGGCCGGCTCCACCACCAGAGGGGGGGGTGGCGCCTTGACGAATGGCTTGACGTTGGGGGCGATCGCCTGCCCGGCCAGCTCGGGCGGAGGCGGCTTCTTCACCGGCTTGGCGACCACCGGCACGGTCTTCTCGCCCACTGACGCAGCAGAGGTGGTAGCCGACGAAGAAGGCGGCGGGGGAGGAGGAGGTGCCAGCCCCCGCTTGGGCCGCACGTAGGCGCCCGCCGGGCACAACGCCTCAAACGGCAAAGGCACGGTCGTGTCGGGCGGGGCCTTGGGCACAGCGCCCGATAGGCCGGCGAGGTAGGCGTCCAGGCCAGACTCTCCCTCCAGGTCGGCGTCGTCATCATCCGGCACGGCGATGTTGGCTGCCGCCGCCGGCTCCGCGACCTGGTGCATCGCCTCCTGGTCGGTCCAGTACCGCCGGGCCTCCGCGGCAGACGGGCCGGGCACCACCGACGAATGAGCCCCAGGCGGGGCGAGCCAAGCCTCCGTGGGCCCTGCGCCCGGCGGGGCGGTCGAAGATGCCGAGAGGGCCGTCACGTAGCCGGTAATGTCGTGCCCGTCGGTGGGGTAGTCCCGGACGAAGAGGACGGAGACGAAATAGCCGGCGTCGACGGTCCCGCGGCCGGTTGTGCCGCCGTGCAGGCTGCCATAAGACGAGCGAGGTCGCCCGACGACATGGCACCGACGGCAGCGGCCAGCTCAGAGTCGGACGCGCCCGCCGTAAAGTTCGAGATGAAGACATGCGCCTCAGTCTGCGTAGACGCATGTGTACCGCCAGAGGCGGAAAGAGCGCCCGGCGTGGGCGTGGCAAAGCCGGCGATCTGTTCCTCCTCGCTGCCCGAATGGGCAGCGTCGATAGCCCCGCCCGTCGCGGGCACCACCTCAGCCAAGGACGTAGAAGGCGGGCGATGAAGAATGCCCCACCACGTCCAGGCCGGCTGCCGCCAAGAAGTCGGCGAGCTCGGCGTTAGCAGCAGGCGAGGAGGATGCCATGACAGCGACGATAGGCGTAAGGGCGAGAGGAGAAACTGAAAAGGCGATCGAGCCGGCGTACTGCGGTCGATCGCTAACGCTTGTTCCTACTCGCACGCGTGCGCTACACCACATACAACATCATGCTAAAGGGACCCTCGCTAGACAGGAGTGAGACATCGTCCGACGAAGGCTCGGTCACTGGCTCTCCGGCCACAAACCTCTACACCGACCCCCCACCCGACCACAGGTTAAGCTCCGCGCCTTAGGCCCCCACATCACAACAACTTGACCCGTCACAACACCAACACTTCGGTGTAGGTGTGGCGCTGCAAGATCACGCATGAGCAGCTGTATGCCCCGACCGGCCGTCTCAACTGTAACAGGAGAACTGTAATCATCAACGCGAATACAAGTGGCTGCAAACACACCCTGCGATCACGCTATCGTCTGATCTGGGCTCTCTTATACGCGCACCGTACGATTTATGGAAGAGAACTGGGATACGGCAACATTGGCGCACACGAGACTCTTAGCTAAGTCATGTGGCGGGCCAGGATGGCCTGGCTCCATTTGCATCAAGCCCATCCCTTGCATCATGGATTGCACTTGGAGTTTCATTAGCTCTCTCTCTCTCTCTCTCTCTATCTCTCTCGGGCTTGAGGTGCGTGTCAAGCTCCCCGGGCCACAGGCCCACCCGTGGTCTCTTTCGTCGTTAGCGGACTGCAATGAGGTGGGACATGAGAAGATCTATCTTGCTCTTGCACTCGGCCAAAGCTTCTATCTTTTTCTCTCTCTTGCTTGCACTCGGACAAAGGAAGAGCAGGCATCTCCCCCTCTCGCTCGAAAGCGCACACCCTCTCTCCCTCTCTCTCCCCAACGTGTCGTCATATTTTATCTCGGGAGATGGCTCCGAAGCGACATGAGTCGCTCATCCAATGCTGTAATACCTTCTTGCAAGCCCCTTGCTGGGTTTTCCATCCCTGGGTCTCGTGTTTAGTAGCTTCCAAGCTAATTCTTATCTCGCGGGTGCCTATCCGGCCATTGATGCTGATCCAGTTTGTGGTCATTTCGGCACCTTTGTTCTCAAGGTCTCAGATTGCGCTTCGCGAATCTGTGGATTTACCTTACTCATAGGCAGGTGCAGTAAGCTCTGACTGAATCGGAACACATGTGGGGATATGGTATCTGATCGGAACTTGGAGCTTCAGCAAGGGTTGCAGCACCGATAACTACTCCAAGCACCAGTCCCACATGTGGTGTCTCACATGACACATGTCACATTTCGCTGTGTGGTAAGCAAGCAAAGATCAGCTCGCTGCATCGCACCAACCTTGGGTATGGGTTGTGCTTCCAGCTCCTCAAGTCGTATCTTACAACAGCCTCAACTGAAGCGGAATCGTCGTCTGCTGCATGTGGTTTGTACTTCAAGGGTCCTCAGGATCCAGGTGATCAAAAGCCGGCACCTGCAACCGTTCGGCATACCTGCCAGCCATACTGGTGGTTTCAGCCGCTTGGAAGGATGCCGTGACCAAGCAGCTTTGCCAACCCCCGACCCCGTGCGCACTCGGTGGCGCGTTCCGGATCCGTCACAGCGAGAGCCTCAGAGAAGCCGCAAAAATTATTTTTCGCAAGAGCCTCCGAAGCCGCACCGGCCTGCACGAGACCGCAAAGCGCTTCGTAGTCAGACCCGTCGATGTTCTCAAGATAGCTCTGGTACACCTGCCATGCTCAAGCTCGCCCCGCCCCGCTATGCTGCATTACTATGCTTCGTTCGCTCGCTCCCTCGTCTCACCTTGCGCAGTCGTTGGTCTGTACAGCTTTTCCATGATTCGGATCACTTCTTGTGATCCTGAGAAAAGGCCATGACGAGCACGCTTGCTCCAGTCCGGCCCGACGCCAACAACCGCAGGAGCCCACTTTGGAGCCAGATGTGGTGAGATCTGGACTGACTGGTCCCACGCGAAGATATTAACATATGTACAATTTCACGTCACTTAGCCACAACAGCCTTTCGGCGAAGACCGGCACTGTCCATTCCTGCAAGGCTTCGCAGCTGCGGCAGCGTTTCACGAAGGTCTCAAATGCGTACTTTGCATAGGTACACGTTCCTGAACTCGGATCTCTCGGTATTGCAAGCACTCTCAGGATTTAGAGAAAGTCAGAGCCTGAATGAAAACAGGCTGAAGGCCGTACACCTAGACCTTGCTGCCAACTCTGATATGACAAGCTGTTTTTGCCCTCCTTCTCGGAAAACACGCTCGGCATCCTTTTCTCCAAGGAAGTGTAGCAGATCCTCAGAACAGCTCATAGCACCACAGGCTGCGCATGGATCTCAGTGACCGCCTGCGCCGGCAAGTCCAACCTGTCAGCCACCTGCAGGCGCGGCGAAGGTTAGAATGATGGAGTTTTAACCAGGCAGAGCAGCGGAGCAGGCGCGCGGCTTGCCTTCTCCAGAACTCGCCGAAAGCCCTCGAGGTCGACAGCTTTGCCTTCATCACCTGGCAGGAGCAGTTTTGGACACCCGGTTGCCCGGTAGCAGGTTGCAGAGCGGGAAAAGAAAGGCCGCCTAGGTCAAAAAGAAATTGAACGTCGCCCTCCACGAACCTTGCATCAGGTGAGGATAAACGAACGTTGGTTGGGCTTTCGGCATATGCCCCCCCACAGCCTGCCCGGTCGCAGCTGGAAGAGCCCGAAGGCCCGACAAAAGCGGGTGAATTCGTAAACAGTCATGAAGCCTCGAAACCCGTAGCAATGCCAAACGGACATTGTAGAAGGAGATGGTGCCTCTCTGTTGATGCAAACCCGAGCTCGCCACCAAATGAGCTGGCATGAGCAAACTCTTCGAAGTAGTGCTCTAACCTGGTCCTGCACTCAGCTTGGTGCAAGTGCAAACAGACACTGAAAGTACAAGAAACCGACAGATAGTCCTCTCGTTGGGATGATGAACGAGCTTCGTGATGCACTCTGAATAGCTAATGCCCTCGGAGCATGTGAAGTGCAGACACGTGGAGCTCTGAAAACGAGACATCATCCTGCAGTTCATGGTCCCATACGGACATCCACATACCTGAGAACTTCGCCTTATGTTTTGCAATCCAGTGGATGATGGCCTGAGCCCAAGAAGTCGGGACATTGTGCCAGTCTTCCATCGCGGTTTCTGTCGGTAGCCCTACTTCTCTCATATTCTCACAGGCAGTGGCTCCAAGGTTCCGCTACTGCCTCACGGAAGACAACGCAAGAGCACTGAACCCGCCGGGAGAAAAGCTCGTTTCCTTCCGCCAAGCTTACTGGAGAGTTCGGCATGTGCTGTGCTTGCGTGAAATGCTGCAGGCAGGGCGTCTGTGAGTGCTCGCATTCGCCGGTTCAACTTGACTTGCTGTGGATTGAATCAAAGCTTCTGGGGACGGCCATGGAGGTTTGTTGAGCTCCGCCCTGTGCCACCGTAAGGTGCATCATGAAAGTGCACATGCTGGGTTGCACGCGGCACATTGCAAGACACGGCTGTTTTGCACTTGTTGTTGCCATTGCTACTGCTACTCTGGCTGGGCATATGCTTTGGCCATGTGACAGCTTTGATCCCACACTGCAAGAAAACATGCTGCTGCCATCATGACTTGATGCTTGGCTGTTTGGCTAGCAACCTCTCGCCCCTTGTGTTCTGAAGGGTTCTGCATTGCGCAGAAGTCCCGAGCCTACATTGACCTACATGTCCGCGCTCGTCTGGCACGGACTGTCCACGTGTACACTCTCCCACCGTTTCCGACTCTCTGCAAGATGAGCCTGGAATTGTATCGCGCTCACCGTTCTGCCCCGTCGGCCCGCAACGTTGCAAACTGCATTCACCTTCAGGCGAAGCACTGCTTGTTTTCCCCAACTGTCTTCAACGACATGCGCCTCACGGCCGGCCAGGATTTGCTGCACGAAATTCAGGACCTGCCGGTAATCCATGCTGCGACCGTTTGCTTCCGGGTTTTGAGACACTCGAAGTTTTCCGTCAATCAAGGAAAGGCAGGGCTCGTGGCCTCCACATGCGTCAGAGCCTGCCATCCCATCTGCAAGCTTAGCACTCTGTTTCCATTTTGATGCGACTCAACCAAGACACCGTGTTTGCATAAAGGTCAGTACGGCGGAGCCAAGCGATAACCTCGGCCGCAGCTGTCTTTGGCATGGCGGGTGACTGAGAAGCTCAGCCGTAAGGAGCCAGCAGAAGGCACGCTGAGCTCCTCAGTGTTCTGCCGAATGCTGGAAGGCACAGCGCATGGAAAACTGTGTGGGAACAAAACAGAACGATGTACCTCGATTGAACGACACTCGAACAGCTGGCCCCGTGAGGTTAATGTCTCTGGCATGGTGACGCGCTTTTTCCTGGGGTCTGGCTGGTGGTGACGGGCCTCGTTGTAGCTGGTCTGAGCTGGAGCAACTCTTGCCGTTCAGCTGAAGACGATGGCTTGCGTAGGGTGATACTTTAGGGCTTAGGGCTGACCGGTGTGCCAAGGGCGACGATCTCCTGGATAGCCTGCTTTCCGCAAGAGACTGCGTTGGATGGAGTCAGCTTGCTGGGCCAACAAATCCCGTTGCCAAGGTGACCGTGTAGCAAAGCTTGAGATCATCCTTTGAAGCACAGCTGGGTAAGCTGGCTTTCCAGGAACGGCCATGTGACACTTGCCAGCGCTCGAGCCCAGCTCTAGGGCTCCAAAGTCGAACTCGCGACACGACTTCTTCCGATTTCCTCTTTCTTCCTGCATATGGCGAGCTTACTGGCGAGACGTCGGTCAGGCGCGATCCTGGGCTCAGGCCTCAAGTGCAGCACCCGGACTGTTCGCGCATGTCCGAGGCGTACGGCGAGCGTTTTCTTCGTCACGAGTATGAGAATCTTGCTGACTGAGGACGGTGGGTGTGTGCAAAACAAATCCCACATTTCTTGCAGCATGAGAATACTCCAGAACCTTCCCGCAAACCGAAGCAGCCGCATGAGAACTGAGATCCGTACGGTGTCTGCGGCAGAATCATCCAGATTGCCAATCCACCTGCATCGAACCGAGGTGGAGAGGAGAGACTGCTGCCGATACATGTACGGCTCCAGTGAGCCTCTCTTCGAGCAAGCTTTTCCCTTTGAAGGCTGCTCGAATGGTCCTTGCATCTGGCGAAGTTGATACAACGTCCGCAAGACCAGTCTAGGTCCCCCACTCGCGAGAAGTGATTCGGTTGGCTACAACCTTGGTTTTCTGCTCTGGCAACGCCATGAACTTAAGCTGTCGGTCGAAGTTGAGCTGTGGAGCGATTCGATTTCTTTGCTGTCGTCGCTCTTGCAAGGTATCGTCGGACGGTGTCCTCAGGACGATGCCAATGGGCTGGCGGACACACAGAGACAGCGACCGCTGCCCTGTCGCCTCGCTATCCAGGATGCTGTGGCTTGGGTGTAGTCCTAAGTGTCCGGTACACACCGGAGACACCGGACACCCCTGCCCATGCAGAAAAACCCTCCGAGCTCGCGGCACTCTCCACTTGCAGCTTTTTGCTTCGTGGCATTCGTGGCTCAGGCGTCGCTGGCTTCACAGGCCCAGTCTGGAAGGGCTTTCTGTGTCTAGGAAACCCATCTGCGGTGTTGTCTCCTTCCTGCGTCTGCTGCCTAGCTTCGTGCAAGGCTGGTGAACATGCCTCCTCTCTGTCACGGCGATGGGGAGTAGAGGGTCCTCTGCGACAAAGCCTCTTCTGTCGGACCACCGACGACTCAAGCACCGAGGCATTCGGTATCTTCGCTGTTTTGGATCGCACGACACCGACGGACCTTGCTTCTGCAAGCGTCAAGAGCGGAGGCGGACGGATGGGTCTTGCACTGGCAGGTTTCTGCCTAGGCAGCACCCCGCGGCATCTGGCTGGCGATCTCGCAGTGTCGCTTATCTCCTTGTGCACCCTTAGTTCAGCACTTCGCAGCAATGCTGGTGCCAAAGCATGTCACTCCTGCACCCCTCAACCTGCTTGCAGTCGAGTTTCGCCTGTCTGTCTTGGTGAACCCGGCTTTCAGGACACACCCGCTCCGGTTCACCGTCAAGAGACGAAGCAAGATGAACTTCATCTTCTGTTGCACACGGTTGCGCAAGAGCAGCTGTGACCAAATCTGCCAAGGTTTTTGGTTGGGGATCCTGCTGCATCATGGAACCTGATTTCCATGCGGTCTTCACTTTTCAGACGCACTCAGCCGAGGAAGATCAGGCAGCCGCGGTTGGTCCGACAGGAGCGGAAGAGATGACATCCGTGTGCGAGGGAAAGAAGACTAGAGGATCGGAAACGAGTCTGTTGTGCTGAATCCTGCTGGCTACTGCAGATGTCTTACACCTCTGCCCCACGAGCCCAAATGGCATACTGACAGCAAGTGGCAGGACGAGCATGCAAAGAATAAAGAGCCTGCTTGCAAGAGAGTCCGATGCCTCGGCTGCGAACGCTCTGTCCTTCAGCTGCATGGCCAGCCTTGCAGCTATTCGAACGACCTCACAGGGTCAATGGATGACTGACAGGCCTTGCAGCACATGACACCACCGTTCTGGATTTTCTCACGGGTAGCCAATCAAGCACACAGCACGGGCACGTGGACCAAGGCCAACGGGATAAGAACAAGACCATCAGCAGCACACTCAGGGCAGAAGATGCCCCGCATCACTTGTTTTTGGATGCGGCAATGCCGAGCAGATGGAGCAAAATTACCTACAGAGCCTTTGAAGCCGGTGGCAAAATGCAAAGCTGTGCACAAACTGGTTTATCCGGCATCTCTGGCGCCGGACTCTCCCCGCTCCACGTATGGCTGGTGAGTGTAGTGAGTTAGTGGACACACCACGAAGTCCAGCAGCCGTCAGCCAAGCTCAAGCAGCAGAGACTGCCCAAATGCGGCAAACCCATCCACAGTTACCAGCAGGGGTTAACCAGGTCGGTGGCAAACGAGTGGCTTGAAACAAGGTCAAGCCGGGAATCCAAAAGCCAGACCTTTCTTTAGGCATGAGGGAGAGCACCCCACCCGTCCCCGTCCACGGGCGTCCTCCCGCAAATGCTCCACACCCAGAGCTCTGCAATCGCACGTCCCTCGCCAACGCTCAGCACCCCCAATGGACGGGGGACTGGTATGGAGCGTACACTCGACACCCACCCGTCCCTCTTCCTCCCCGTGTGCGGCCACGTCCTCCCGCGAATGCTCGGCACCCAGAACTCCCCACCCGTCCCCGTCCGCGGCCGCGTCCTCCCGCGAACGCTCGGCACCCAGAGCTCCCCACCCGTCCCCGTCCGCGGCCGCGCCCTCCCGCAAACGCGCGGCACCCAGAGCTCCCAACCCGTCCTTGTCGTCCTTCGCGAACGCTCGGCACCCAGCGTCGCCGTCCCCCAGCCGTCCCATTCCTCCCGCGTGGAACGGTGCCGTGGACGCGTTCTCTTCGCTAAAAGGCTTTTCCGGTCCGCGACAACGTCTCGAAAATAAACGCTCCCCCGCAAGAAGGAAAAACTAAACAAGAACCCAACCCCCGAGGGGTTTTTGGGAGAAAGACTCGACAACATCCCGGTGCAGATGAAGCTTGAGAAAGAGACGGTACAGTGAAGGTATTACCGCCCGTCGGACAAGTACTGCAGCAAGGCATGTTGAAGAACTAACCAGCAGCGTGCCTGAGCCAAAGTTTCTGACTCCTCTTCCTGTGAAGACCAATACTTGATGGCCTGGAGCAGGCACTGCAATCGTGGGGCAGTACGTCCATGCTTTACACACTGCAGCTGGCGAGAGAAGGTGTCGGGAGTGAACCACGTCACGTCAGTCGGAGCTGGGCTGTACGAATCGCGCCTCCCTCAGGCAGGCGACGGCCTTGTCAGGACTCTTTTGCCTTGCCAGACACCAATATGATTGCTTCCTTTGTACACACTCCGACGGTCACTGAAAGGCCTCTGGTGGAGGTTCACAATGGCTTCTACTGTTGCTGGTTGCGTGCGACCTCGGACAGGAAGTCTGTCACTCCCTGTATCCCAAGCTGCCTGCAAGCACAACGAAGATGATGCCAGAATTGGCTCAGGAAGCCACTGCTGAGAGGCAACTTCGCAAGAACCTTCGAGATTCAATACAAGCACTATGAGAAAGCGCTGCTCGCAGATACAGACTGCACGGTTTTGACTGACCTCGACAGCCAAGTCGTGCTTCTGCTGGTGGGTGTAAAGCTGCGCCAAAGGCAACACGACCTCCGAAAGACCATCAGAAAGGCCGTAGTTTCCAAAGACAACATGTGCACATTCCACACTCTTGTCTCTGTTTTTCCTGGCAGGTTTTTACCTCAGTGTTGAATGAATTGTCCGACGACCCATCACCGACGACTTACGCAATCGTTGAACGAGAAACAACAGAGTACTTACTCTGCGAGAACCTTCCGCAACAGCGACAGATGCAGAGCCTCAGCAACGAACAAACGGCAGGTGAGTCCCGACGGAGCCGGCGAAATGATGGAGCATTCGCCCTTTGAAGCAATGTACAGAATGCCAATACCTCCCGCAAAACGCACAGCCCAACATGCTATGTCGACGATTTGGGACTGCTTTTTGTCAGATTGTCAAGACCAGGATTGAGGGAGTTTGCTCGGCAAAGTGCACTTCCACTCTTCCGAATTTGACAAGGGTCATGGCCGCGGATTTCATAGAGCTGCTGTTGCTTCCAGGGCCCGAGCCACTGCCAGCTACAGTACACTCGCATCTTACGGCACTGTACAAAGTGAATCCACCGAAAGGCCATGCCCTGGGAAAATCAGCCGCGATGCGGTCAGGTCGCGGTGTGGTGCGGCATGAACTCCGAACTCCGACCCGCTCCCATGTTGACACGAAAGCAGTGGCCAAGCAATGAGTGGCAGCTGAGCACTGCCTCTATGAAGGTAATCGAAACGTCAAACCATCTGGACTCAAGGTCACTTGAAACACAATGGAAGTCTGCTTTTAGTAGCAACCCAAGAGAGTTTAGTTAAGTGATGTATACCCCCAGTCTGCAAAGCCTGAAGCATGATGGAAGCATGAAGCGCATCTTGTCATGGCAATGCATCTGGCCTCCTGGTCATCTGCATGTGACGCAATGTAGCCTTGCAGGATCTCCTCGCCTCAGCCACATCATACACAGTTAGCCTGGAAGTCCTTGCTTGACAGGCCAACTTCACAGGATCCTGCACACTTTGCCCTTCTTCTCTCTGTGAGCAATCGCAGCCTGGCATCACCGTCGACGCAAGCGGGAGCTGTGCAACACGCTAGCTGAGGTCAATGCTTGTACCAGAGCTACCCGGGGGTGGTCAGGGTAGCTTTCACCTCGGACGACTCACTCCATGTGCACCCCCTGCGTATCTTCGCGCTGTCACCTTCCTTCACGAACTGCAGCAAAGTTATTTCTCCATTCCTGGTATGCTCGGACGATTGAAAAGGCCGGAGGCCAATGCTGCCAGTAGTCATCCGTTCCCCCATTTTACCAGTAAACAGGCCTAATACTAAAAACATGTTGGGGCCAATCCTCCCGAATCATCCCTGCCCTTTAAAGCCTAATGTGCTTTAGGGGGGGTCCGGAGCAAGAGCGAGAGCAGGAGTAAGAGCACCAGCTACAGCAAGAGCAAGAGCAGGAGTAACAACAGCCGCTTCAAGAGCAGGAGCAAGAGCACCAGCAAGAACAAGAGCAGGAGTAAGAGCAAGAGCAGGAGCAGGAGCAAGAGCAGGAGCAAGAGCAAGGGTAGGAGCAGGAGCAGGAGCAGGAGCAAGAGACGCAGCAGGAGCAGGTGCAAAACCCGCACGGGAGCAAAAGCCAGAGCAGCAGCAAGATCCCTCAACAGCGACAGTAGCGATAAAAATACCTTCATGATACTAAAAACACTTTCCTGGTTTTCTTTGAGGTGAAGGGTGCGGGAAGGGACTACCCATAAACTACCCAGTCCCTGCATCTGCTCAACCACCATCAACTGATCAATAAAAATCACATTGAGAAGGATTGATGACTCAGCTAAGCAATTTCCATTTTCATTCCTGGAGTCCTGAGTGTTGCCATTACTTAACCTTAACCTATGCTTTAAACCCTGCACCCAACCCTAAACCCTGCCTGAATGCAGGCTCTAAGCCTAGAGCAGGACATAAACCGTCAACCCTAACGAACCTACACCCCAAACCCTCCCTAAGCCCTTGTGGACTCGAAGCCTTATACCTTTTGATCCTAAACCCCCAACTCCCAAACCCCCACAACAATCCCACAGAGGGAAGAGGGACTCCACGCCACATTACAGGGGGCAGAGGAGGGCACGCTGGACCATGGGGGGGAGGAGGGGCGGGGGGGGTGCGCGGAGCACGTGACCATGTACCGTTGTCGCTCGGTTCCAGGATGTCCCCACACATGGCGACTTCACCAAGGCGGTTCGTAATGTGGCCGTCACAACCAAGCAAGTTCGAAGGGAAACGCGAATGGTTCGAGGAGCACCGTCACTGGATGACGTTGTGTTGCAATCCATCGTACTGCTCGGGGTTCCAGCCTCCGTCTTCTCGTGGCAACAGTCCTTTAAACGGGGCTCTTGCTTTCTTGCTTTGAAGCCTATAATAAACACAAAGATCCGGCACTGGAACGGAGCCAGGAAATTCTACATGAGCCAGGCGAAACGTTGGTTTGCAAAGTGCGAACCGGGGTCATGGCACAGCTTATCAAGCTCCTTCTTGGCAACATCTATCTTCTGCGCCTGCACGAATGCAGCGGGTAGAGTACTCGAGATTGCTGGGCTCCAGCGTGCTTCGAGCCTGGAGCAGCAACAACACCTTGTTGCATGCAATCTCGACGGTTTGTCTGCGAGTCTGCTTGTGCTCCAAGCCTTCCTGACAAGCCGTCGACACAGCACCGCAGAGCGCACCACAAAGCATCTGCACTGGGCCGACAGGTCCTTCGAAGCCACATTGATGCGCTTCAGGCTGTCGAAAAGGGACTTGCCCTCAGAACCTAAAGCGAACATGTCACCGCTGCCGCAGCAACCCTCGAATGTGCACACCTTTTCGCAAAGCGGGCTGGGAGCAGAACGAAGGGCAACTACATTGTTGCATGCAACGGCAAGCACCGTCACATCTACCTCCGGTAAGAACAGCTCGGAATGAGTTCAAGCTTGCTTGTGGGTATTGCCATCACCGGACCTCGTGGCCTTGATTTGGTTTTTGTCGCAGAACTTTGTCATACCTAACAGTGCAGACACTCTTACACTGCCCATGCAATCCAATGCTTCACTTTCTTCCCCCAAAAAGTTCAGGACCCGGCACTTCTTTGGCCTCCTCTTCCTGGCCTCGACGCTGCATCACGCACCTGGGATGCTCGATTCCACATCTTTCGATAACCAGATCCTCCGATCTCTGAGCCTTTTGCGCCTGCTGCACTCGGATTGCTGCAAGCTCCTCATGATCCTGTACAGCTCACCAGCTGAGCGTCTCTGCACACGCAAACCCAAAGTAGCCTCTAGCAGCCCCGCATCTTCTTCTCCGATCTCCTCAGCCTCAAAGCAGGGCCAAGAACCGAAAGGCCAAGCATGGAAAGGCAACGGAAAGGGCAATGCCTGCATAAGCTCTTCGGTGCAGAGCTCTTTGGCCTGAGTCAATTTGTCCTGGCGACACCGCAGCTTCTCCTGCTATTGCATCAGAGATCAACCGCGCCTCAGCCTCCTTCAGCCGACCCTCGTCGATGAGCGCGCAGGCCGCATTGAAGCACAGCTCGTAAGACGACTCCAGCGCTTCCTGCGGCTTAGCAGTTCGTGGAGGCCCAGGACAAACCCACAAACCGGCCTTATTCCTGGCAATCAAGTTCATGGCCTAGCAGGCGCGAGGCCTACGAAGATCTACGAAGCACTGGCATTAGGTAAAGGTGAAGGCGCCTGTCGCGGCTTATCCCCCGACACATAGGAGGCCACCGCATTCACAATCAGGCCCTGGTCCTGAAACATCGGTCAGAAATTGCTTGTCCCTAACCTTGGCCCCGCAGGTCAGGCCTCAGCGTCCTCCTGGTGAAGCTTCTCGTAAACGTCTGCACCTCATAGCTGCAGGCAATAGTGCTGCATAGCTGGACCTCTGAGTGAGGCGAGGCGAGGACAGGCGCCGTAGTCTGACAGTCGGTACTGTATCTGCCACAGCAGACCATCATGTTAGCCTTCCTTTATGCCTACAAGACCATTCCGCCTGCGCTTGCAAACGCAGCCTGCTTGCAGCAGTGTCCTTGTCTGCGGCTTTCCTATCCAGGTGGGGCCACTTGGGATCACAGCTTTGACGCAGCGCAGAACATAGCGGAGCAGCACTGTGCCTGCCTGGAGTCCAAGACCTCCAGAGCCTGCTGGAACCGGTTCAGGCGATACCTGCAGGTCAAAAGAGCTGGAGGATCTGGGTGCCCAACAGGAGCTGAGGGCACAGTGCGTAGGCATGCTCAAGGGTGAAGTCCTGGCGGTCGCAGGGGCGACATCAGGCTTCTTGTGCTAGTAGCTGGTAGTTCTTCAACGCAGACCTAGGTGTTCAGAGGTGGAGGCTCTGTCCGGCGCGCGCAGTGCTGTTTTCAATGAAGGAGGGAAAGAACAGGCTTGGCCAGCGTTGCCAAGCAAAGCATGTTCGAAGTTGTGTCACTGTGCGTGCAGCTCGGCGCGTCACATTGGCCATCTCGCCCAGCTCCATGAACTCATCATGTGTGAGTGTTAAGTTCTGCATGGCTTCGGCTCGTTCTTAAACACGAGTCATACTAGCAGTGTCAGTCAGACTGCTGAACGGTCAGGATGTTGGTTGGCCTCCAGAGCTGCATGCTTCTCGCAGGCCTTTCAGTGGAGTCTGCACAAACTTCGGGCAAGACTTCTGCAGTGAGCAGCCTTCAGCACGTTCTCCCACTGAGAGACGTTGACGAGAGTGTATATGTAGCTCCTCAACGCAAGCACGGCATGGCAGGGAGACGAGAAATTGTATCAAGAACACAGTGCACCACCGGCAGTACCTCGCATGACTCGAGCTTTTTGCACACCTTGCTCCGACATCAGCCGCTGCAGCTGATCCAGGTTGTCCTGGGCCATTTCGTCACCTTGCTCAGCCGCCTGGGCCCACAGTTCAGCGCACTTCGCGAGATTCTGTGGAACCCTGTCGCCACGATAATAGGCTAAGCCCAGATTGAATTGTGCAGCAGCATCTCCTGCCGCAGCAGCCCTCGCCCAAACCTCTAGCTCTGGAGGTAAACAGACCTCTGCCTGCAGGTGCTCTACCATCGCGGCAGATGCGCTATCGCCTCTGCTGGCTGCCTGTTGGAATAAGTCAAAGGCCTTGCCTTTGTCTTGCTCAACTTGGTTCCCTTTCAGTAGAGCCAGGGCGAGAAGGTACATCGAGGGCACGTGTCCAGCATCTGCCCACTCCCGCCACAAGTGGAGATTCTCACCCAGGAGCTTTGATAGTGCAGAACCTCCAGTACCCCAAGCTAGGCGCAACCCTTGTCGAAGCAATTCTGCGGCGTCGCGCCTCTCCTGATCTTCTTCGAGCTGCAGCGCTGCAGTGACGCCACGCCAGTATGCCTTTGGATTTTCAAAGTCCACCTCAGCAGCCTGGCGGCAGTCTTGAAGGGCCAACTTGGGCAATTGCTGGGCCAAACGGACGTGACCCCTGTTTGATAAAAGTTGGCTCACTGCTTTCTTCAAAGGGTCAAAATCATGGGCCAGACCCTGAAAGCTCGATATGGCTTTCACGCCGATATCAATGCCACGTGAGTAGCACTCAAGGGCAGCATCGTTGTCGGCAGCCTTTAGCCTGGCATTCCCCTTCTCCTTCCAGTCCAGGATTTCCTCAAGGCCGCCGAGGGAGCTTCCTCCTTCCCCCTTGTCTGTCATGTCGCGCATGTCGTGTCGTGCTTGAGCCTCGACGGCCCTGGTGGAGCAGCTCAAGGTAAGAGGCGGACTCACAGACAGAGCAATCAGCTTTTTGCTGCATGCACCTCCGCTTGGAGCTAGAAGGCCACCATGCCACGTTTCAGCACGGCGGGTCTCGTGAAACACGGAGAAAGCCTAGGTTCTACGCCTTGGCGGACTGCGCTTCGACGTGATGAAGAAGCACCTGCCAAAGCCGCTGCTTGCCGCTTGCGCCAGACCCAGAGTGCTGTGGCCAGGCATGGCCCGGCCAAGCGCCTCGCCTCGATCTTCGCCAAAGCGTCGAAGAGCGCTGAGCCTTTCTGCTTCATGTAGCCAGGGTCGACAACCTCAGTGCAGAGCGACAGACAGGCTCCAAATTTTCTTCGCAGTTGAGCGCTCTAGCACTAAGCAAGCTGCCCAGCAGTCGCCCTGATCTCTGAAACCGCAGGCCTGCAGAATCTCCACTGCACCCTGCCAGACCAGAGCAGTTAGTTGAAAAACAAGCGTCCGACTCCGAGTCTACTAGAGCTGTTTCGCCTGCAGGGAAGACACGCGAGAGCAGAAGGCTGTGTTGTCTTTGTTGATGCGCTGGAACTTCATCTCCTGGGCTCGTTGGACAACAACTTCGCATTGGCACCCAAGCGGGATGGGACTCGTGTGACCGCGCATGAACGTCCTGCCTGCGGGCTGGAGGCCTGCAGTCTATGAGATTCCAAGACTGTGAATTGCTACAAGGAGTCGAAAATCGCTGAGTGCAAGACCAAGTTCCCCACGTAGACTTTCAACGCTTTCAAGCAGCTTCTCAGCTGTGTTGGGCTTGCCTGGCTGGCTGTGCTGTGGATACATTAGTCGAAAGTTGTCACAAGCTGACCTCAAAATGCCGTCGGTGGAGGGACGCTAGCGCACTGGAGAGCACCTCCCGCGACGCCTGCCAGAAGCTTTGCCGTTGCTAGCCTCGGCCTCTTGTGCACTGGCCCTCTGCCTGCATCATGTTGGGCTGCCCGCACTGGGCTTGAACAGCAGATGTTCTGTCGGCCTGAGTCAGATCTCCAATCTGTCGTAAACGATTAGCCGGACACCATGACAACTTGCAGCAATCAGCCTCCGCAGAGCTTGCCATTGCAAAGACTTGTGCTTCACGTCGGCCTGCAGCTCTTTTGAGAAGATCCGTGAGAGAGTCCCACTGCAGATCAGTCAAGTCAAGCCACTCTCGGCAGCTTTGGCGGCCTTGCACTGTTCGAGTCTGGTGATGCACGAAATCTAAGAGAGTCAGTCCAGCACAGTCCTACCGTCCTACCTGGATGGAGCCGATTCGATCCTTCATTTGACCATTCTCTCCTGCTTCGGCTGAATGCACTTGTATTGGAGGGAAAAGCAAGCCGAAGAAATCCTGGAACGACAGCCCCAGCCAGGCAAGCTGCTGCACCGCTGGCAGCAGATGGGGCCGAAGCCACCGGAGTGGGAGACGCAGCCACCGAAGCCGTTGCACCAACACTTGAAGTGCACGTCAAATTGTTGAGAACCGCGGCCCCAGAGTCCGTTGGTCGCTGAGAGCGGATGCCGCTGCCACCTTTGCCTGGCAAGAGGCGAGTCATGCAGGGACTCATAAACTGTACAATTTGCATAGCAGGACCCAGGTGATGAGCTTTCGGCCACCCCGAGATCTGTCAGGTCGCGGGGGCAAGGCTGTGAGCTCCTGCGCTTCACCACGGTTCTGCCGGAATGCTTTCAAGGTGGCTGGGACCAAGAAGGACCCCGCATCCGATGCTTTCTGAAATCTGCGCTTCCTTTGTGCCCGAGGCGGATGCCATAGCTCCGCCAGCCTAATCACAAACCAACATACCCGAACCACAATGCACAGCGCTGAAACCAAGAAGGGATGCGAACATGAAGTTGCAGCAGGGAGGCTCGCTTCAGCAAACTGCTCCCCTTCAAGGCCTTGCACAGGTTGTGCCAAAGCAAAGCCCATGCCACCCCCGGAACAGCTGGACGCTGCGAGAACGCTTTTGGACATTCACCTTCTTGCATTCTGAGACAGCTGCTCCGTGGGCCGCTGGGGAGCTTCTGCTAGAGCCTCAAGACATGCAATGCGCGAAGCCACAGAGCTGATTGTAGGCGAGGAGAAACACCGGCACAGCTCCCCTCACAACAGGATTCAAGTGAAGAGAGTTTGCGTCGCGAGCTAGATGCATACGCTTTTCGCATGGAGCTCAGCTTCATCGCCCGGACAAGCAAAAGGTCTCCAAGCACTGCCGTGGTTGAGACAAAGTTTTCTGCAAGGGAGTCCATTGCGATGGTAACGTGCTAGCACCACTATTGTTACTAGTGCCAGTGATACTACGAACTGGGCAAAAGTGGCTGTTGCGACACGTACTGCTAATGGTACAAGAACTAGTGTTACGAGTGCTAGGCTGCAGATGCTACAAGGCCACAAGGAATGGAAACTGCAGAAGGCCCATACGACCGAACCCGAAGATCCCCAAGCTAAAGAATGCCGGCCACAACGCTTGTAATGTGGGGGGACAAGGCCAGATCATCTAGGCAGAAAACAACATGAACCCGCAAGCTGGTGTACACAGTTTGTCGTCGCATGGAACTTAAGGTAACCCACTGTGCAGAGTTTTCCCTGCCAGAACGACGGGGCCTTGAGGTTGGCGCAACGGCTCCGAACGCCTTCTGCGAGTCTGTGTTTCGATTCTTGCTTGCGTCGTTGGGTCGACTCCCCTGCTGCGCCTGGGCCCTGATTTAGGCCTCGGAGGTGGATCTGAGGTACCTCTGATTCTTGTAGCGATGTCCAAAGCTCTAGAACTTGAGCGAGGGCACTTGTCTGTGACTGCGACAGAGCTCTCTCCAACTCCTCCCTGAAGTTGGAATCCTTGATGACATCTGCAACTAATTTGAATTCGTACTGTTGATGACAGCAGGATACTGAGCTGGAGTCCCCTCGAGTCTGCTCTCTGTAGGAGGCCTCGCCAGACGCAGAAACCACAAGCACAGACAAAGAGGGCAACCTGCAAAGGACTTCTGCGGCAAGACTCTTACTGTCAATCCACCCCGCAGCCGGAATAAAGTAGTGGTAGGCTTTATTCATGACTCTCCTTCTCCTCTCAGCGACATGAAAATCCACAGCCCAGTACCGCTTAGCCACATAGGCAAGGGCCCTTTGCCTCAATGGCCTTGACCAGGAGGCCGTCTTCTTCTCTGCGCAAGCTTGCTTGGGCGTGCTTGCGAGCTTCCTGGCAGCAACACGAAAAGGAGCCCAGGAGCTGGAGCCGCCGGAGTCGGAGCCTCCTCCTCCAGCTGCGTCCAGGAAGCCTCGATGGCTGAGGCCAAAGCGTCTTGCTCCTGCAAATCTGATGCGTAAACGCACAAGCCCGCTCCGCTCGCGGATTACTTTGCTGTCAGACCGATCCTGCAAGTCGTCGAGTTTCTGCTGCTCGTCGCGTGAAGCCGCGAGAACTCGCCTTCTGAGGCATAGCTGGCGAGGAGTCGAACCAGAATCGTGACGGAAAGGTGGGTAGCCAACTGCATCTCCGAATCGTCGACGGCATTAGAGGTACCCGAAGTCTCAACTCCTGGCCGGACACTTGTGAAGCTCTTTGGCCAGCTCCGGCAGCGAAAGACGGCATAGTCAATGCCTGGACTTCCACTAAAACTGTCGAAGGCAAAGGACCACGGTAGTTGGGGGTCACCTGATCACCACTCTGCTCATCGTGGGCATGCCCGTTGCCGACGTACATGGGGCTTCTGTGCTTCGGGACTGGATTGCGTGCTGTGCTGAGCTTCCTGCCCAGCAGCGTGTCCCTGTCACATGGAACGAAGGACTGCAGTAGACCGACTTGGCTCTAGCCCATGATGCACCTGTACCCAGTGCGCATTGGGGCACGATAGCCTTCAGCATCATCTTGCCTGCGATGCGCGTGCTCTGCTGCAGCCGCATTTTTTTCTTCCACGAGATTCGGTCAAACGCTTGGTAGAATTGCCGGCATCGCCTGGAAGATGCTTGGCATTCCGCGGTCAAGACATTTAGCGCTTCCTGGCGGTCTGGAAGTCTGGAAAGGAAACCGAGAAGCAGCTTGTCCCACTGGACCTCCAAGTTCCATGCATTGGCTTCAAGCACCTGACACAAACGTCGGAGCCTCCGAAAGCCCTGTTCTGGTCACCCTTGGCCTCTCGTGCAACCTCCAGGTCGGCAGTCTCACCAAGGGAGTCCAGAAGCCTGGCAAATGGGACCAGGCGGCAAAGAGTCACTGGGACTGGGGTCTACGGGGCTCCCGCCATTATAGGCTGAATCCCGAAACGTCGGAATACGGCGGAGGGATGTGGCTGCCAGCTCTTACGGTAGCGGGGTAACCTTCCCCCCCATCTTTTCACGATCAGAGTGCGTCAGACTTCGGCAATCTGGAGCCAGGCTTCGCCAAGCTGTTCAAGCTGCCTTTAGGCAGCGCTGGTGCCGACTACTAGCATAGCTAAAAGACCTAGACCTAGGTGACCTGTTGTTGCCTTACAGATCACATGATGAAACTTGTCGTCGTCAGGTGACATGGTGGGATCGGGGACCAACGGAGGCCCTTCTGAGCGGACGCAGAGAGGCATGCAGCAAGTCCTGCCAGGACTTCAGTGCATTGCCAGAACGTTCGCATAATGCCACATGTCCTGGTAAGCAGCAGTCGTTGTGGTAGCAACGGCATCCTTCTGACCTGCCTTACGAAGGGCAATGCTTATGGAGTGATGACTATTGTGTTTGCTGGAAGCCTCCAGACTAGCAGATTTCCACTGGACCGCGGACTTCACGAGGTGCAAAACTGCCTTGAAAGAGCTAGAAACAGAATTCCTTACTTCGGTCCGCACACAGCCACTACCAGCACTACCAAAGCCGCCCCATTGCCTCTTCAAGATGAGATTGGGTAGATGTCATCCTTCGCTGCAGATCTCCAAATACATGGCCTGGAGATGCGCAGAGATGCTTCGTGCAATGCTGCAAGTCTGCAATCACGCACATCGTCGTCTTTGGGCTAAGCTGAGAACGCGCATCGTTCAGCAGCTGCTTCTCCTTCCCACGAATGCCGTAGAAACTGCTAGCTGCACCATCTGCAACTTACAGCAATAGCTCACCTCCCTCATCTTCTGCTGGAACTTGTCCAAAACTTCCTCATCTTCCTCCGAGCCTCGCAAGGCCTCGAATCCATGAGCTGAGGTGCACAGCAGACCACGTGCCAGCTAAGCGGAGACAAGTATTCAGTAGCGAGAGATTACCAGCTCGCTCATTGCTGGCCTTTCTGGACAAATCCGCCTCTACTTTGATTTTGGCCTCGGCAGGCAGGAGTCGACTACTCCAACGATCGCCGCACTTCGGCACTGGAGGGTCGCAGCACTTGGCTGGGCTGTTCGCAGTGTACTGCTCCTCCAGCTCTGCCACTTTGAGACCCTGTGCATCATGCCTCAACAAGCCAGCTCAACAAGCGCTTCTCAAGAACAGCAGACAAGGCTTGCTTAGTCTGTACCTTGGCAACAAGTCGTCCAGCAAGCTCGATGTGGCGGCTGCCGAGCTCACTGCTTCCAAAGCCGTCTTCCTGGCCTCGGGTAATCTGCAAACTCTCCGCAGACTGCTTTCGACCCCTCTCGACGCTGCACGTTTCGCCACTCAGTCCGCAGCATCTCGAAGCACCAGAGCGCAGTGCCGGGAAGCATGCAAGGCTCTGTCGCAGCGATCTGGAAATGCTGCCACCTTCCCAGTGACGACTCAAGGACGAGTGGGGTGGCTGCTGAGATTTAACGTCTCATTCTCGACCGGCCTCTTTCAGGGCGTCCACTCCTGACTGCCACCTGAGTTCATGAGCAACAAATGCTCCAAGGGAGAATACCTAAAGCCAGTGGCTTCAACGATTAGCCAGGCAGCCGTTGCAGCTCACCGAGAGGCATCTTCTTCTCGATCACAGCTCCAGCACCAATTGCATCGACAGCACTTTGAGCGCTGGGGTGACCCCAAAGTGTCTGCAGTCCGATGCGCAAGCCCCCGTTGCTCAGCAGTTCAACGCTTAAGAAACGTGCCTCCTCTTCACTAATCATCATTCGCTTGCACAGCTCGCACACAGCTCGCAGCGTCTGTGGCATAGTCGACATGGCTTCTGTGTGCCGGACTGCTCCCGCAAGTTGGGCACAAGCCCTTGGTGGAATGATGACGACTTCATTCAGAAGTGCGGATATCAATGCGCACAGAGCTCGGATGTCCCCCAGGCCAGCCGCAGTCTCGAGGCTCGTCCTACCCTTGATTTGACGGAGCAAGGCGTGCTCCAGCCACTGGCTCTCCAGGACGCCGAGTGCTGAAGCAAGGCGGCGGATTTCTTCGCGCACCGAAGGCAGGTGAACCTCATTGAGTGATTCGCCAATAGACGTTGCCAACAAAGAGCCCGCGTCTGGTAGCTTCAGGAGCTCGGTGGTCATTGCTCTATTGAATGCCCGCAGGAATCTTGAATCAGCATTTAACACTGTCTGAACCCACATGTTGCAGTACTGTGAAGGTTTGCTTATCAAGCTCGCAAGCAGTTCGAGTCTAGGCTTGTCGTCTCGCCACACCGCTTCTGCTTCACGAGCCCAAGAAAGGAAAGGATCCTCCCATACACCAAGGCCTAGAGGCAGCTTTTGCAAGTCGTAGAGGCGTCCGATCATCTCGTCCATGACCCGCGGCAAGCAATGCATTGACATTTGCACATATGAATTCATACAATAATACCTTAGGGAAGATGCCTTCGACACTACCTTGTTGGTGCGCCTGATCAGTGGATCGGTTGCACCCAAATGGTGACTTGCAGCTCGAACCCTGGCTTGTAGCGTCTCAAGCTCGCCCCACTTGCTGGATCGAGTCAACATGCTCTGCTGGCTTGAACAATCTGCCCTGTGAGCCACCGGATGTGCTGATGCATGTGAGAGCATTTTGCGAACTGCCTTCGCAACCTTCGTCTTTTGGACTAAGAGAGGTTGCAGCTGTGTCTCTCTGGATCGTTGCGAACCCAGACTGATTGGAAGCGGCTGTGAGCAACAGCATTCCTCCATCCAGGGGCAGTAGTGCAAGCACAGGCATGCCTGACCAGATGCCGGAAGCATCATGTCTTGGAGCTCCTGAAACTTGACATTGGTTGCCATCATGCACCACACTCCGGCAAAAAGATGACCGAGCTCGGCTATCTCAGCATCATGAGCTCTCGACTCGCACAGCCAGATTACTTGCTGTATGTTACTGAAACGCAGGAGTCTTTAGCAACAAGTGTTTCTGCGCTTTTGCAAGCTTGATTGCCTGTCGTTTGTGGTCATAGCTGCGCGTTTTCAGTCAAATCGGGCTTAAGGTTTGACCCCAATACTGCGGCATAGAAACCTCGCAGGATTGCATTCACACGGTATCACACAACTTAAGGACTGCGACTTATCTGCTACTGGGCCTGCCTGATGCACGGGCACGCAAACCCAACCAAAAGGGTCATGCTGTCAACCCGATGGGAACTACAAAACCGGGGAGTGAAAGTACATGCCGCGATGGCACGCAAAGCTTCTGGTCATTGTCCATGGCAGCCCGAAATCAACAAAAGCAACGCCGTGGAGCACAAACTGATGCTGTATTGACATGTCACGTGTTCTTAAGTCCTCTGGTAGATATCGCCATGAGATGCCGTACTGTCAGAAAGAACTTCTGCAGTCTTGCCAACATTTTCCACAAAAGGGCACTTGCAAGCCAGCAGGAAGAACAGGGTTGAGAACTTGCGACAGTGCACGTAGAACCTGTGGACCGATGCGCGTCTGGGAGGTCCTAACCACCAGTGGATCGTTGGGCTTCATCTCATAAGCCTGTGGCAGGCTAATCGATTATCTTCCGCAGCTTGGCACACGTGACTCCTGCACATTACAAAGGCCTTTGTGATCAACTTCAGTGCAGGCTCGAACCTGACGGAACCCGCATTGACAGCAGCGGCAGCATGCTACTCGACTGTGGTCCGGGAGCTGCGGAATGTTACGGACAGCGGCTGAGATGCTTAGGCTCCAACTCCTCTGCATCGAAGTGCCGCTTTACGGCAACCATTGCGGCCTGTGTCAAGGAGAATGTTCGACCCATTCTCCTCGTCAGACTTGAGATGTGGCCTCAAAAATCTCATCGCCTTCCTGCATGGCCGCCTGCCTCGCTGTCTGCAGACAGACTCCGATGTCGACGTACCAAGCTGCAAGGAACCCTTCGAACCACTTGCCCTATGGCCTTTAAGCGCTGACCGCATAGGTAGGCAGGAGACAGGAAGCGCTAGTCGAGCTTGTCCAGCGGAAGCGGCGAGGTTAGTCGACAATCGCTTGCAGCTTACATCAAGCTAGCACGAGACCTCAAGTTTGGCCAAGGACCTCCTGGAGAATTTCCTTTCTGAATGCATCTTGGGAGAAACAGCAGACTCTAGTGACTACAGGGACGAAGGAACTGCCTTTTTCTCTCCCTAGCGACGTCGCCCCTACTGGAGGTGTCGGAAGCTACACCGCGTTCTACATTCATGCAGCAATACTTTCTGCAACAGGCTCGAGCAGCTCTCACCTGTCCGCATCTCGGGATACTCAGTCTTGCAAAGGCGAGCCCGGACCTTTGCCCCAAAAAGCTGCCGACGCTGTGCTCCTGGAGCGACGCGCGTTGAAATTAGGTCAGGCTCCGTCTGACTATGCGAACCACCTCGTCGTGCTAGTCGCCCAGCTCCCAAGCGTGAGAACAACCAACCACCTGGCAACGGCCCCACCGTACAGAATCCTCAAAGCCACAAGAACGACCAACCATGACAAGTTACGAGCTCGCAGGCAGGATCGACAGAAGGAGCCTGGCTTCAGCGTCCGTCAAGGCTGAAAGCACAGCTGAAGCTTCCGGCGCCTCGAAAGGCACCGCAGGCGGTACTGGCCTTTACAATCGAGGCAGGCAAAATCCTGCATAGACTGCAGAATAGAACATGGAACTAGAGAGATCCCCCCTCCTCATTTGCAAGTGACCTCCACAGCAAGGCGTCTGGGGCTCGGTCGCTGCAGGAGGCGGCGACATCAAGATAGGAGCGCATTCTGACAAAAAGGTAAGCACAGCCGAGCAAATCGTATGTTCCAATTCTTTACACGACACTGAGCGTACCAGCAAAAGTCAAGATCAGGGCGAGCAAAACCAGCAAGCGACCAGGCCTGGTGAGGAACTGCTGGGAATACCTCCAGCATGAGCTAGACTCATGACCAAAGCGAACCATATCCATACCCGAAAATGAGGCAAAAGCTTCTGGCCAACTGTCTGGACTTTTCTTCCTCAGATTTCCAGGAGGTGCCCCACATGCACACAGTTCGGCATAGCATGGGAATTGGAGTTGGGTTTGGGCGGTGATGAAAAGGATCAGCACTTCCCCAACTCCCCTACAGGGAGGAGGTTGTGGTGACTCAGGTCCCCGCATGGTAAGGTGAAAGCAAATTCAACATTTGCTAATCAGTTATTTCTACAGTTACAGTTACAGAAGACAGAAAACTAGTTAAAGAAAACTAGTACGGGGCCACAAATTTCCGACCTGTCCATGAAGTCAACGGGGTTCTGTCTTCACGGGTCCTTGTCAATTTTTCAGTCACGTGACAAAGTCATCTTGAATGTCCTGCGAGTTAGCACGGCGTCTTCACGCGAATTGAGGACACTCAGAACCTGTATAGTTTGACACGAACGAGCAGCAACTCAATCGAGAAAAGAACGGGTCAGAGCAGAATCAACGAAACTGTCAACAGTAATTTCAAGCTTCAGAGCTTCGGAAGAGGCATGTAAAGTCAGTCTCGTGGAGGCACCCCTCCACTCAGCTGGTGCCAGCGAGGGAATGCCACACTGAAGCACACTTGCTATAGACCTTTTTATCCAATGCGAGTCGGGAATATGGCTCTTTTTTCCCGTTCTTTTCCTCTTTTTCGCTGGTTACTTTTTACTGATCTGCTGCATTCTTGACTGTCTAGATTTGCCGGTCTCCAGGCTCGGAAGCAAGTACCACAGGCCAAACACTGCAAGAACTTAGTTGAGTTCCCAACCTGCCACTCAGTGATCATGAGCAACTCTTCGCAGGTGGATTTCATACTGGATGAGTCTTCGTTGGCCCAAGCCATCCAGTAACCCTTGGGCCCCCTGCGAAGTTACTTAGGCCTTTGGTACAGGGATGACACACACAGAAAGAGAGAAGTCTTCTGAGTAATTTCCAGCATCCTGCAGACGTGTAAGGGATCTCGATGATGGATTGTCGTCGTGTCGTGGCGTCGTCATGGGTTGTGGTTGTGGTCCTGGCCCTGTAACTTCGCGTCGTCGTGCGGGCTTGGGTCCTGGCCCCCTCCTTGCGGATACCAGCTGCAATCAATACGCCCAGGGACCCACGATGCAGGCAGAGGCAAATGCCCACTTACGACCTCAATTTGAATCATTGCACGCAGTAAGCCATAAGTGCCGTGTGCCCCTGCATGTTACAAACAACGCCACCTCACCTTCTCCCTCTTGCAATTCGGGAGTGGCAACACACACTTACTTCAACATGCAGTGGTAACTGCGATCGGCGACAGACAGACACCGACGAAGACTGCATGTAGCCCGTTTGGCCTTCCCAGGATCCAGGCCCAAGCAGGGGGCAAGAGCGACATTTATGTTGTAGTATAGAAAATGATGGGGCTAGCGTCTTAGCAGTGGCCAAACTACGAATGGTAATATGCTGCCACTGGGTTCGTGCAATGCCAGGATAGCACGTAGCACGTTAGAGGATATGGTCCAGGCCTCTTTGCGGATACCACTGCAGGTACACGGAATTTCCGATAGATAATACTTGGCAACCCCCGCGACCAGTCCCACTCATTCGCGATCGCAGACTCGGGCAGATGCCCCTGTGATCTGACCCCATCTCGGGTGAGCAAAACAATCACACACTTTGGCATAGCATGAGTGTGGGGTTTGGGTCCGACCCCCGTTGCATCAGACCGAAGGAGTGATACAGCACCAGAGTGAGGCAATGGTGGCAGTGAGATGATGTCCCGACGGAGCGGAGCTTCGGTGTGTGGGCAGAGCCAAGCCAAGTGCCATCAAGACTCGATTCCATACAACAGCTGCAGCCATAATACGTGCAAGATGCGGCTTGGCGTGCGGACCTTGGGTCTCGCATCGACACACAAGCTCTCACACGCTGCAAAGTCCTGCCTCCATCAAATGCTGTGGATGCATGTGGAGAATGGCCGACCCCTGCTCCACAGCGCAAGGCTCGCCGGCAACCTGCACAATCGTGTTGCTCGTCCGACCCTAGATGCGAAGCTGACACATCACACAGTGCGAGTGCTGCCATCAATCTTTTCACGACAGCTCCAGTGGAGATGCAGTCCCGCTGCACAAACCGAGTATGGAGGGTTATCGGAATTGTTATCGGTCAGAGACTTGCTCGGGAAACATGCGACTGATTCCACTTATGAGGTCCGAGTGCAACTCCCCTTAGAGGCAGGATGAGGCAGGGGTATAGTCCGGATCCCGGGATGGGGGTGCAGAGCAGAGCGAAGGGTACGTAAACGACTACATGTGGGGATGGCGACCCTTTACGAAGTCAGCTCCGATGAAATCCAGCAATCTATGTGAGTGTGGCCATAGAGGAGCTCGACATGCCTCCTACAAACATACAAGTTGTGACGGCCGAGGTCTCCAACATTATCTTGATTTAGGAAACAGAGAAACTGGAAAGTGGTGCATGTCAGACCGTCTGTTACCGATGCGGCCATAAAGTGCGCATGCAGCACTCTTCATGCTGTTCTCGACGCCTCGTTAGAGCGGGCAAGCTTGAAATTGAGTTGAGCTCCTGCCATATTCAACGGAATGAGCACCTTGGCTCGACAGAAGAACCGTCATACTGAGCCTTTGATTCACTGCTCTGACCTTGGGAACAGGCGGATGTCGACAGCCTCGGCTTCTGGATTCACGAGCAGAGCAGCATGCGGCAATGTGCGGAAAGGGGCCGCGATAAAGAGCTGGGACGGCAGCATGGTTGTTGACATCGAAAGACCCTGGCACTGAGACAGCACCAGAGAGTGCCTGAGAAAGAAGCCACAATCACGAGCCTCGTTGCTGATGCAAATGGACTGGCCGGGCCTGGCTGGTGTTTTGCGAGTTGCGACAGCGGATGCTGAAACACTGGGAGAAAATCCTAAGGCAAGCGCTGAAGCTTCACGAAGGTCCACTGCCTCGCCTCACAGATTGAAAAGTGCTCACATCGCGGGCTTCGCCAAAATGTAAGCGTCCGTCCATTCCCCAGAACTGTTTGCCCAAGCATTCCTGCAGACTCAAGCTCAAAAGCCCATACCTCGTTCATGCAGATGCGCGGTCCTCTGGAACCCATGGCCTCTCTGTGAAGGCACAGCAAGAATACGTACAACGCAGGAAACTGTGACAACTGGCCTGAGACGTAGCATCATTTGTTCAACCAAGAAGTCGCTTGGCAAAATTGTCGCACCTGGGTATGCACCTCTACTAAGCTGAACGCAAAGTTAAAGCACTGGATCCTAATGATTCTTTGTGGCTAAGACAAGACGAGTCACATGTACCTGCGACTAAGCCATTTGCTCTCTCTTGGACTTGCAGGTTTGCGCCGCTGCCAGCCAGCCTCAACAGCACTGCACAACGAGACTGCAAACATCCCTAAGCCCTAAGCATTGAGAATCGTTGCAGCCCATCCTCCGCTGCCAGAAGCAATTGCCCGCATTCACCGGCACTGCAAACAAACCTAGCACAGTAAGAAAGGATGCTGCATGTCGGCCGTTTGTTCCAGATCCAGGTGCTGCAACGCTCCATTGTACAAGCATTTGAGGTCCTGGCCGCAAGAGTCTGGCGCTGCATGCCTCGATGTGCATGGCTGCATTTCCGATATGGCACGCTGCACCCAAAGCCCAGTGCAAACCAGATCCGATGAAGCGAAGCACCGAAAAGGATAAACTTATGATAACTAGCGGAAGTAACAGCACGTCAAGAAGCAACTCGAACAAGTCCGGCTTGATATGGATATGCAGCTATGCAAGCACGAGCCAATCGCAGTCAGCCTTCGGCTCTCCGACTCTCCGGCTCTGCGCTAAGCCATGGAAACCAAGCTCAAAGACCCAGGGAGGGCGCATAGATTCCTTCCATCAGACCAATACCCTCCAAAGCCCCGTGAGAAAGAAACGACGAGTCCATACTCGGTGCCCGATGCTTGAAGCTTGAGCTCTTGACCGCATCTCCCTAGTCCCAGCCTGCAAGCTGCTGGTGATGTGCTCGAAAGGCTGCCTCCAAGCTTCGCAGTGTCGGTGCTCTGGAAGTCATGAAACGCCATGAAACGCCTAGACGAGTCGCTGTCCCTGGCCTCGAGAGCACCACGGCATTGTCGGGGCTTAAGACATCGACATTCCTGGGCAAGTTGAGTCGACACGGCAAAGGATTACGCAGCAACGGGATTTTCGGAAGGAACAATGCGGCACATTCAATAGAACAGACATGAAACAGCACAATGATTTCAGTCGGAGCATTGCTTCTGCTGAACACCGGCGTTTTGTGCAGTCACGCAGGCGCATGCACCTCTAGCTCACTCGACGAGACCACCACAACATCCATGCCCCCGACCAAGACAGTGAACTCGCCCTCGTCAACCGACAAAATTTGGCCGGTCTGTCCGGCGCTCTCTCCGCTGACAAGCTGCACAGAATCTCCGACTTTGGGAGCTTGAGCTTGGATCACCCTGTCCGCGTCCCCGGAAGACAGCGACTGAGCCTCGGCAGACTGTCGCCGCTGTTCGATTTTTGTGGCAAGCCAACCTGCAGCACGCAAGTCCGGCAATGTCCGACCGTTCTCCCGACGCAGTTGCAATGTCTGCCCATCCGCACCATGCAACCACCGCGTCTCCAGCTCTGACTCAACGAGGGCTGCTTCAATATCTGCTTCGTCCGAGACTTCTAGTTTCTTCACGCGGTTGCAGTTTAGCACCAGTGCAGCATCAATCCAACCTTCTGGGTGTTCAGACATGTGTTTGTGAAAGAAAGTGTCAACTGCCAGATTCCGATCACTGAAGTAGAACTCTATTTGGCGCCGCAGCGCCAGCAACGTCTCCTCACGAGTCATGCTTCCTTTCTGTCGTCGACGTTTCTTCCTGCCAGCTTCGCCCTTGATCGTGAGAGGTCGGTCATCCGTCTCACCGTTTCGAACATCGTTCGAGTCGGCGTCATCGGCATCCCCTTCGCCAGAGATGATTTCGGCCTCCTCGGACCCATTGCCGCACCCAGCTTCTGCCGAAAGGGGCGCTTCTGCGGGTTTCTCCTCCTCCTCCTCAAAAACACTGGCTTTCACGTCATCATACACCGTCGATACACTCATGCCAGGCTCTTTTTGGACCTAGTTGAATCATTGAAAACTTGTGAGAAATAGCACCGTTGCTGCGGAAGGCTTTCGGGGAGCGGTGCCTATCGACATGACCACAGCCTCATAACGTGAGCAAACCGACAGAAGCAAAGAAAAATGTCTTGCCCTACTAAGGCAGTGACGCTGGCTGCCACTCAGGCATGAGGCGCTCGGAGCCCCGGTTGCAGGGAGGATGTGTGCAAAGAACACAAGATACATGACAGCAGTGTCTGAAAGTCTGTGAACCCCTGCTGCACGACTACCAAGCAAAGTCTCGCAGAATACAACCAGTTGCACATATCGACGGGAGCTTTTTGTTGGTCGCTAGCTTCGGCCAGTCAACTTTGGACGGCCATGCGAAAAAACATTCTCAAGGCGGAAGCTACACTGCTACACTTACTGACTTCCTGCCCTCCGAATGCCTCAGCCGCTGTAAATACCGAGGGTAGGGTAGTTGTAGTACCTCCGTCAAATCCACAGGTCACCGGGCTGCTGTAGATCAGCTTGAACTGATTCCAAGGGCACAAGTGCGGTCGTAAGGTCTTGGTCTGCCCAGTCTCGAAATCCGTTTCAGCCTTCATCCAGGTTGCGAATACTACTCTCCGACTTGTCGTCCCGCTTCCAGCAACTGGGCGACAACGCCCTTACGAAACTAGAACATGTGCCGAAAGCGGAACATCCCATGATAACAGTTTGTCATGTTGTCAAGAGCTCAGCCTGGCATTGAAGGCCCTATAAAAAGTTCATGTTATATCTTCACCTCTCTCCAAACAGACAGCAATTTTGATCCTTCGCACACCTTCAGATCTGCAGTCTGTCAGAAGGTTAAGGGCCACGCCAAGTCGCAAGCTTGTTGGTTGTGCGAACTGAGAGGGGATGGCCTGACAAGACTTTCCAAGTGTGCAGAAAACCATCAAGTTGTCAGTGCAAGGGGCTGCAGCCTCGGCGCACGCTCTTTTGTCGACTTTTCCTGGCTCTCCGAAACCTCTGCTTGGACACATCAGCCCAACAAGATGTCGACATAGACTGGCAACGTGTGTGATAGCGCCTTCTTGGATGCTTCCGACACAGGCTGGCCGCCTGCATGAATGCAGGCACTTTCGATGAGTGTTTCGCGCACTGTAGCCCATGACTTAAGGACGGCTGGGGGCCCTAAGGCTGAAAGATGCAAAGGGGACAGCACGCGGATACGACACGAAGAGCCTCCAACATCAAGACGACAACTTGCTTCGCATCTTACGTGCGGTTTTAGCCTTTGGCCCCGATTGGCGTGTTGCAGCATAACGCCTTTCCACGATTGCTCTGTCCCAGAAATAGCAACGAATGCTGAGCGAGCTGCTACGTCACAGAAGAGGCAACGATTTGAGGGAGACAATGGGAGAAAGCTGCTGCCCATCGAGGCTCCCGATGTGAATGTCGAGTTGGCATGTCCAGCAGCCTGAAGCCTGGAGCAGCACAGTGGCGTGGTTTTACACGTATCGCAAATGGCATGTTCATTTGTGTTGGTTCGTCGGATGTACTCGGAGTGAATGCTGTGTTGACGCGGCCCCACTTGTCCGTTCTGTCGGACAAGACATGAATGCATGCGACATGTAATGCTTGCTGGTAGCTCTAGAGTGGCCCGCGAGCGCTTTAACGGCGACTAATCTGCCTCGCCTATGTCTGCTGGACATGAGCGCATGTGAGTAGGACGGCATTTGCAATTGAACATGCTAAAGGTCTAGTCTGCACTACTTTGGTCATGCACGTAAAAGTCCACTGCAAATGTATCTGCGCATTTTTCAGCACAAATGGTTGGCGCCGCTTTAAGGCTTTGTGTGTGTGCTGTCCTCGTTCACGGGGGTCACACCTTTAACATGTCCTTTTTCATCTTGCAGAAGGATGGAGGGGTGTAGGGCAGCTCCGTACAACGAAGCTCTCTCCCCTACACTGCAGGGAAACGTACCTGCCTTTGCTCGCTCATGGATCGCTGCTGGGATAGCTTGGGGAGCCTCACATGATTTTCATCTTCATCTCACAGAGAAACCTTAGACCAGATGGATCATCTCACCTACTTTTGTATGCGATTCCTTGGTGTCTGGCAGACTTGGCACCAAAATCTCCATCTCATTTTGGCTTTCATCCATGCTTCTCGAGATGTGACACCGCCGCAAAGAGTGCAGGCCACGAGCCCTTTCGATGAGTCGGAGAACGGATTTGCAATCTAGAGCCCAACACACCGCCACAGCCCCCACAGCCGCACCAAGACAAACAATGTTCCGGAACTAATTGCGACAGACGTTAAAATACACAGCCCTGAAACGGAACAAGACTAGCCCACGCCACAAGAAGACAACAGCCTGTGCCAACCCGACACGAAGAACCCTGAAAACACCAACCCTAGCTTATCCTGAACCAGCGCTAAACCCTGAAATCTGACGTGAAAAGACTCGCACAAACCATGACAAACCTCTCTGAAAAATGCGCCGAACCAAGCCAAAGCCAAACCAAACCAGATCGAGCGGACATCTTGCAACCGTATCCAACAGAAGACCATGTCTCACAAGAACCTATCTCGAAGACACAGAAGCCCTCCTTTGACAGCAGGCTCCGGAAACACTTGCCCCAAACGTAGCGTCAACCAATCCTAAACCCTAAACCCCCACCCGCAAACCTCCGCACTCAGCTATATAATTTGGATTCCCCAACAAGCCAACAGCACCGTTGATGCTGTCTTGACATGCATTTCGTCATCGAGAAACAAACATTCCAGCTGGCAGCATGGATCTTGCGAATGAGATGCCCTGTGTTGGCAACTCTCGTCAACATGCACCAGGAACTGGACGGCACTAAGCTTGCCAGCATGGGTGCTCGCGTTCAGATGCGCTTGGAGAACCATTTCATACGAGGGCTTCTGCGTCTTCGAGATAGGTTCTTGTGAGACATGGTCTTCTGTTGGATACGGTTGCAAGATATTCGATATGGTTTGGTTTAGGGACCCACAAAAGCACATAAGCAAAATTAGGATAGGGATATCCCATATAAACCCCCTTATAATGAAGCCCAATAAGGTAGGGATATCCCTATAAAATGCTTATGCTTATGTGCCTTTTGGGTCCCTGATGGTTTGGTTTTGGCTTGGTTCGGCGAGATTTTCAGAGCGGTTTGTGCGGGTGGTCGGGACTGGGAGCATGTGGGATTTCAGGGTTTAGCACTGGTTCAGGGTAAGCTAGGGTTGGTGTTTTCCGGGTCCGTCGTGTCGGGTTGGCACAGGCTGTTGTCTTCTCGTGGCATTGGCTTGTGCTCGGTTTAGGGTTGTGGATTTCCACGTCTGTCACGACTAGTCCTTGTACAGTGTTCGTCTTGGTACGGCTGTGGGGGCTGTGGGGGTGTGTCGGGCTCTAGATTGCAAATCCGTTCTCCGACTCGTCGAACAGGTGCGTGGCGTGCACTCTCTGCGGGGAGTCACATAGTCACATCTCGAGAAGCATGTGAAGATCGTCACACACTTCGTATTCCGAAATGGAAAGCGCACTTCTTTACAGGTGTTCCAGGATGTTGCCTGTATGAGATCGTGCATTTCATTGTGTTCTTTGTCTGCACTACTTTACTTGTTTGCCTTGCGCCAAACGTAGCGGCAGCGTCAACCAATCATGCCAATCCTAAACCCTAATCTCTCACCTGCAAACCTCCGCATTCCACCATGGTTCGGATGATCCAGCAAGCAAACGGCACTGATGATGCTCTCGTTGACATGCATTTCGTCATCGAGAAACAAACATTTCAGTGGGCAGCATGGATCTTGTGAATGAGATGCACTCAGAAGCGAACGTTCCTGGGTTGGCACCTCTCGTCAGCATGCACCGGGAACTGGACGGCACTAAGCTTGCCAGTATGGATGTTCTGGTGCAGATGCGCCTAAAAAACAAGGCCATACGGTCCGAATGCAAACCACGAAAGTAGTGCAGACAGTCAACACAATGAAAGGCACGGCTGGAACACCTGTAAAGAAGTGCGCATTCCACTACGAAGTGCGTGACGATCTTTTCGAAAGTTCGGAGAACTGATGCACATGCTTCTCGAGCTGTGACTATGTGACTCCCCGCAGAGAGTGCACGCCACGCACCTGTTCGACGAGTCGGAGAACGGATTTGCAATCTAGAGCCCGACACACCCCCACAGCCCCCACAGCCGTACCAAGACGAACACTGTACAAGGACTAGTCGTGACAGACGTGGAAATCCACAACCCTAAACCGAGCACAAGCCAATGCCACGAGAAGACAACAGCCTGTGCCAACCCGACACGACGGACCCGGAAAACACCAACCCTAGCTTACCCTGAACCAGTGCTAAACCCTAAAACCGCGTGCCAAAAAAACCGCACACGCCATCCCCTAGCCCATGTTCCCAATCCAAAACCAACAAAAACCATCGCAAAACGCTTTCAAAAAGTCACAAAACCAAGCCAAACCCAACCATGTCAACCTAGGACATCTTGCAACCACATCCAACAGAAAAACCCTGTCTCACAGGGACCCATCTCGAACATGCAGAGCCTTGAACCGCCCACACGAAGCCGATGCAACACAAAGCCCGCACAAGCCCTCCTTTGACCACAGGCCCCGGAAACACTTGCCCCAAACGTAGCGTCAACCAATCCTGCCAATCCTAAACCCTAAACCCTCACCCGCAAACCTCGGCATTCCACTATGGTTCGGATGATCCAACAAGCAAACGGCATTGATGATGCTCTCGCTGACATGCATTTGGTCATCGAGAAACAAACATTCACTAAAGTAGTGCGGACAAACAACACAATGAAAGGGACAGTCTCATACAGGCGACACCCTGGAACACCTGTAAAGAAGTGCGCTTTCCATTTCGGAAAATGAAGTGAACGAACAGCCCCCACAGCCATACCAAGCCAAACTATGTACAGCAACTACTTGCGACAGAAAGACTTGCAGACACCCATCGTGAAAATCCGGAACGAGCCATGCCAAAAGAAGACAACACCCTGTGCCAACCCGGAACAAAGGATCCCCCAAACCCAAAGGCCTGAAAACACCAACCCTAAAATTAGGCCCTCATACCCTCCACCTGAACCAGTGCTAAACCCTAAAACCTCACGCGCAAAACCCCGCATACGCCGTGCCCTAAGCCACACTCCCAGTCTCGAAAGATCCCCATACCGCCACAAACCACTCTGAAAAAACACGCCGCACAAAGCCGTCTCAACCCTCCTTTGACCCCTGGAAGCCATCGCTGGCCCAGGTAACTTGAACCATTCCTAGAACCTGAACCCTCACCTCGAAACCTCCGCACACACCCCGAGCAGCATGCATGCTCTCGAATGCAGCACTAATGTCGACACATATACCTTCGACAGCTCCGAGGGAGATGGCCTGGCAAAAACGAGGCTAACAAAACCTGTTCGAACGAGGAGCTTTGGTAAACGTACCAAACAGAACCCCTCCTTTCGCTTGCCGAACGACACTGTCGAAAGCCGCATTCACTCAGCTCCCGAGGGATAGTTTTCAATTCTCGTCTTATAGCAGAAAGCGTCTTCTCGTCTGATCAGATAATTCTCCAAAATCTGCGCAGCGATTTCGAGAAGGTTGTTTATCGTCTGAATGATCTTTGCCCTCAGATGCAGCCCCACGAAGAGGGCAGCTTGCAAAGGGTGAAAAAGCATCTTGTCGGATCAGTGCTCAGGGTTTCGCGTTGTCTCTCCAATCGATCTGTATGCCGATGCTTTGACATTCCACACCTTCCGCATGCTGTGCTGTGTTCTATACGCACGCATGCCTACACCATCCATCTACAGAGACGGACAGAGAGAGAGAGAGGGAGAGAGCCAGACAGAGAGATAGCCACACATGGAGATGTCGGGATACGGAGACACATGGAGTAGAGTGGAAGAGACATAGATGGGCAGAAAGATGCAGCGACATAGAAACATGATTTGCGAGTACGGACCTTTCACACAGGGAACCTGATCTTGTCATCTAGACACAGACTCATGAAACATAGCGGAAACACACGCATTGCCACATCACTGCAGACCTGGACTCGGCTCTTGGAAACCACCATACGTGCTTATGCCCATGTAGCCCGAAAACTCAGCTCAATGGGACAGGGACTGAAGAAAGGCCTCCATGAAGATACTAGCTCACCACCGTCAAAAGCATACGCACGGCAAACCCCGCAACATCATGAAGTTTTACTCATAATGATAGTGAACGACTCGATGAGATCAAAATGGGACCTCTCACATCCTCTCACATTCTACATTTTGATGCACAAGCACTGAACATCCCCGGCCATTGTCACATACGAAGTGCACAAACGCGACACATACACACACACACACACACACACACACCACACACACACACACACACACACACACCGCTGCCAGACACACATCCACGCTTAGTTACACCGTATGTGCGTGCATCGACTGCCTCGGCTTTGGCTTTCAGAGGCAATTGCAGCCTGGCAGACGCATCTGCTGCCGATTGGCAGAACATGAGCCAAAAAAGCGACTGGGCTGCGCGCGCTAGGTCCGCTAGGTGTAGCTGGGCTCCCAGGAGACCTGCCAGGCCAGCTCAGCAGTCGCAAACTGCGCCAAGCTTGCATGCAAAATGCGAGACCGTGGAAGATGGCGTGGTCAGGCTGGCCTGTGCCAACTTGATGAAACTGCAGGCACCTGTCCAACGCACTCCAACACCACATCATTTCTGCTTTATGAAGCTGAGGACACGTCCCTGGACTTCGGTCGATTTACACGTTTCCTTGCAATTGTCACCGACTGTTCAACCTCCTTCGAGTGCATGCTGGCAACCTCCGGCTACGTGATTTGTCTTGAACCATCAAAGTTAAACTCGAGATTCAATTGCTGGCGACGTGCAGGAAGATCCCAAAGTCTCGAACGGACAATCGATACCCAAGAGACGATCGGTTCTGTACGTCACCTGACACATCGAGGTCCAGAGGTGGACCGAGAGCCGCATGCCAATACGAAAGAACGAGTGTACCGTCTGGCTGCGCATACGGCACTAGAATGCAAACCCACAAAACCGCTGGTCGTATGCAATGCCATAGTCTTGCTCACTGAGAAGTTGCCTGAGGACAGAGTTTGGGATGAGAGTGAGAGTGAGCATGGCAGAGAGAGAGAGAGAGAGTGGTTGAGAGTGAGGAGTGAGAATGCAGGGAATTCAAGGATGACAGTGAGACTGACTATGGAAGTCGAGGGTGAGAGTGAGAACGAGAGTGCAATCACCATCAACATCACATTGCATACTGTATACTCGCATACCTGCACTACCAGGGTGGTTCACGATATCTTGTGATGTCAGCAGCCTGGGCTCTCTCTTGTGATTCAGGTCACACCGCCTGATAAGACTCTGGGTCGCAGGCTCTCCAGACTTCTTCTCTTTTCTCTCTGGGTAGCTTCCCCTGCATCTCGCCTCCTGGGCTGAGTGGCCATCTCTGCGACAGTCTGATTTGGTGACTCGTGCTTCATGCGCCTCGCCTGCCACAGCCCCTGCTGGAGCACTCCGCTTACAATCCGCCGACTTCGGACTCAAGACTGTGAACGGAAAGGTCAAGTGAGAGTGAGAGTGGGTTCAAGTGTCTCAAGTCTCCGCAGATGCCTGCTCCCTCGACCCCCCGCAAAGCCATCCTTTTCTGCTTTACAGAATGATGCCTGATCCTATGAACTTGAAGTCTCGTCTGAAGAACGAGTGCCCCTCGGGAATCGATACAGCGAGTTGTAAAACAGATGCGCTCGCAGAGTGGCGGCTGGTCCCTTTCTATGTCGCATCTAACGCATCTAGTAAGACAAAAGAAATGGTGCCTAGCATGCCCTTGTGCTCCCTTGAGTCGCATCACATGGTTTACGTCCTACTTTACTGCGACACTGCTTGTGGCTTTGGTCGGCATGTTCACTCCGCCCCTCCAGCTTACCGACCCAATTTACGTGCTTTCGTTGCTGTCACTAGCTACCAGGGTTGCATACTGCATCAAAGACTGCACTGTGGAGGTGGACTAGAGTCTTGATCCATGACATGGGCGCCTGTCTAGAAGAAACCGGTGCATCCCAGCAAAGAAGATTGCAACCACAGCCCCGACAAGATCCTCTTCGATAACATAAGTATGAGGTTCGAACTGGGGCGTTTACGGTAGGGGCTGTCGGCACGGGACCAAACGACCCGGTCAAAGCAACTCTCATGTCACAGGCAAAGCCCAAGCCAAAACCAAGTCATGATAACTCTCGAACAATCGAGGGCACCTCGTCAATCCTGCTCTTCGAAAACCCTTCAGATTCAGAGTGTGAAGGCAACTTGCAAACTAAGCCTCATGGCAACGCACCGGCAGATTAAGATGCACTTTTGGACGCATGTCGAAACCGCCGGCAGACTCTGGCCGTTCTTGCAGAGCAGGCGCAATTGGACAACCCAGCTCTGGAGGACGAAAGAAGTCGAACACCGGCTTCGCTCAAGCTCACTACTCCGTGTTTTGCTGACTGGCAGGTGTGACAACCTTTATCCTGCACGTCAGCTCGGAACAGCTTCCATGGCGCTCAAGCCTCTGATGGAAGCCATCATTGTGACGGCGGGAAGTACTCGAGCCCTTCATAGCCACGCACAGCTCGTTCGTGCTACACGGACTCACGAAGGCTCAGAAGCATGAACATCTCAGGGAGGAAGTCAAGAAGTCTGTTCGACCAACTCTCGCTCAACACGTTCCTCACATGTACCTCAGTCCAGCCACATTCCGGGCAGATCGGGCAGGCAGTGCTAGCATGAACCTGCCACAAAAGCACAGATACAAAAACATTCGATACCTGGACTATCGCGACGGCTCCTGAACACAGTCCGTACATCACTAGCGCATGCCACGCATTCAAAACAAAACATTTAGCGGGTCGGCCTGATGGAGCAGGAGCGCTGAGCTGTGACAGTGGCTCCCAAAGGGATAGGAGAAGTCTGTCAGCATGAACTTGGGTCTGCTGTGAGATATACGGTTGCGATGGTGTTAGACTCTGGGACTCTGGGGATTCCTTTCTGCGTCGTGAGCTTACTTGGGGCAAGGTGCTGGGCTGAAGCGGTGTGTACTGCAGCAAATGTTTTCCGGGCGGTGGTCTGCGGAGGAGCCTCAGATGTCGCCCATCCACTGGTGCGAAAGAACATGCGGGAACGTATCGCATTTGGAGACCGAGAGCCCAGCCTAGCAATGTAACTCATGCGGCTGTGATGATGCTCCGGCCAATCCTGTTTCGGTGTGGGTTTCCAGGCACCACGGATTGGGCAAAACTGGTTGCACCTGCTCAAGACAAGTTGCATTCCAGGCTATGTGGTGGACTTGCCATCCCTGCTTCGTCAACAAGCGATGCTTCAAGGAGCTCTTCATGTCATAACGCTGCGTGCTGCCAACGAAGTGTAAGGGACCTCGGAAGGCCAGAGGCCAGAACATCAGCGCTGGCAACACCTGGTGTCAACCATCCTCGCCTGCCCTCACCAACAACATTCGCTCTGCGACTTATTCGTACTACCCGCCGCATCGATTCTTGCGTCGTACTGGCTTTGAGACCCTGCAGTCACAGCCAGGATGCCGTCGATTTCGATGAGGCTTTGGTTCGTGGTCAAGCGAACGTCGGCAATGTAGGGATCCAGCCGCTCCTAGGTGTGCTCATGTAATCATGTAATCTAACAGCATCAGGCAACGTGGTTCTTAACAGGTCTCCATCGCCCGGCCTCCGTGCGATGTTGCACACCAAGCTCTTGCAAAGCCCCGGAAACCTGCATGGCAGTGGTTCAGCATGAAGAGCTACGACATGCAAACATCCCACCTGCAAGTGCTGCTGAGAGGAAGACTTCGGCAGTGGTCCAAACACTGACTGCTCCAAGGACCGAACTCCTGGCAAGCACATGGTGTCAAGCCTGCGAGTCGCAGCTGAAAGCCACAAGAAGGTCATGCAAGATCGCATAGTGACACAGTTGAGACACGGTCGTGTGCCTTCGAGGAAGCCACTGAGCCCCTTGAGCTCCTGCCATGCAAGAAGTAGAACTGACAACAGCAGCACTCCTGCTCCAAGACTCTTTACTTACGTCTTACTGCTACTGATTGCTACTGCTATCATCGACAGCTGCGAGAGCAAGAACGCTCCAGCATGTGCAGTGTGCCACGTCTTTCTAGCCGGCAGGCCAGTTCAGTGACCTCTCAAGCGGCTGCACACGAGGCCAAGCCAAGATTTGTCACGAAGCCAGCAACTGCGAGCAACGCCAGCCAAGGCCTGCAGCTGGCGTGCGAGCTGCTCGTCCAGAGACTTCAGGTTGCAGCCGAATGAAGCGTTCACGGCGCCGACGGCAGCAACCAACGCGCGATCTCGAGTCTCGCACGCAGATTCGTCGAATATTAGAGCCAACAGGAGCTGGCCAGTGATGGCTTGGGATGCATAGCCTCGAGGGGAGCTGCCATTCTCACGGAAGTCGAAACTGGCTTTCCCTGGCTTTTAAGGGCCGCCTACAAGGGTTCGCTGATGGCTGTTAGATAACCGGCTGTGGCTCATCGCTCGGTTTACGCTGTTCGCCGGTCGTCGGGTATGCTTCTGCTTTGCACAGAGGTCACGCTGATGCCGCCTTTGCTTGGAGCATTGCCCTCAAAGGCGGCGCACACCACTGCCAGAATGCGGTCGGCCTTGGCAGTGCGCCGGGGAGCGAAGACTTTTCTTGCAAGTGCGGTTACATGGCCTCCAAACAGCAGGAGGACTGTTCGGCTCAGACACTTCCCGTGTGCTTGCAATGCCGAACTTGGCCGCGAGCTGCGCCAATGCCTCGCATTAAGCCAGTTGGATGAACCTGTCTTTTTCAGACAGTCCTCTAACCGACTAAAACAAAGCGATCACTGAAAGATCCAGCTAAAGATCCCAGCCCAAGTCATGTCAATATGCAAGGCATGTTGACGAGCTGGCTCTGCCCACCCTTCCCCGCGCTACTTATCAAGCCCGGTCGCCACGAGTCGCGGAACATCTTTTCTGGCGCGAGCTGCAGGGCCAACACTTTTGAAGAAGCCATCAACCTTCCGCGAGCTAGCGGCTAGCCACTTCCCCTGAGATTCCTTCAGGTCCTCAAGACACGGACTATTGGACTGGTGCCTGAGGAGGTTGTATGTTGAGTCGGCCGCAGGCATTGAGAAACGCCATTACAGCCCCTTCTGCTTCACCTTTCCCAGCTCATCCAACAGACACTGCAGTTTTGCATGATGCTGACGCAGATAGCACGGAAGGCTGTAACGCTGCGCCTTGGCTTTGGCCTTTCTTTGGCCGTGGACTCCTTGGACCAGACTGCCTCACAAGCAACTGACGGGGCCCGGTCTTGATGCTGTGCCGTGCTGCCCAGATGCCCTGCAAGCGCAGCTGAAGCCTCAGGAGAAAAAGCCGAAAGCCACTCTTTTCTCTCTTTGCCTTCTGCCGCATCCCATCGCCTCGAGGAGCTCGGCGAGCCTCTTACTAAAGGCTTGAAAGAGGCCCTCCTGCCAGCTGTGCCCAAAAAAGGCTGAAATGGCATGGATGGCTTTCCAAGCAAGCGGTCGTCGCGGATGTTCAGCTGCTTGTACATCGCCGTGGCTCGCCTGGAGTGAGATTTGCAAGAAGGACTGTGGCCGAGGAGAGCTACCGTTGCGCCCCACCGCAAATCTTTGAAATGCAGGCTCTTCACCTGACAAAGACAACTTGCGAATCGGAGTCGGATCACAACATGTCATTGGCCTCGTCCCGAAGGCGCCCGGAAGCGACAAAGAAAAAATCCGGACACCTCACACTTGTCATGCGTCTGCAAATAACTAGAACACGACTCAACCACACAATCATCTGACTCTATGCCTGGAATCGTGCTCTCGAATCTGTCGTAAAGCGAAAGCCTTGCAAGGCCAAAGGGTCGTGTCCAACAACAGGGGACAAGCGTACACAGGCTCTGACTACCGTGCCTCCATGAGGCTCAGAAGCTCCAGGCCGCTCAGTTGTTGTACGAGGTGCTCAGCTCCTCGGCAGCCACGGAAGGCATCCCCCCAACACCATGGCAACCCGATTCATTGAGGAACTTAACCCGCTTGAACGAAAACATCCAGCTTGCGCATATCTGAGTGCCACATAAGACTAGCAGTGCAAGAACTGAGAATCACTGAGGGCACGGCTCCACAGAATGCAACGCAAGAGTCTGTCCTCCAGCATCACAAAAACGTTACAGGCACCCGTCGCGTGGCTGCTGCCCCGCAAAAGCGATGCTCAGCAGCTGACTGTGGGAACATGCCCCTCCGGGCGAAGTCGACAAAGCTCAATGCAGACGGCTGCAAGCTTGCTCGGCTGCCTCAGACAGAGCCCTAGGGCCCATAGAGCCCTAGCAGTGACACGTCACGTCCATGTCACCATGTCCACAAGGCAGCAAAGAGGAAGAGGAGCGAAGGAGCGGAAGCCGGCGGAAGCCGGCGGAAGCGGACTCTCGGAGTCGAGCCCAAGCCGCGAGAAGATCCTCGTAAGCTTCCGGCCATTCATGGTACTCGCGCAGGATCTGAGCCTTCCCAAGTCTACAGTGAGATGTTCTCACAGTGCCACACTCGAAGACGTGCCTCGCAACCAACGAAGAAGTCATGCTGCCGAGATTTCCGACGCATGTCCCTGAAACTTTCCCATGAAGCTTCGCGAACCTCACAGGATACGCTCTGTGCGGTCGCAATCTCAACGGTGGCCTTCGAGGCAGGCACCGGACATTGCTTTCCACCAGACTGGCCTGCAATAACTCAAGCAACAGCTACTTAGCAAGTCAGTCTGCTGGAAGCAGCGAATGCTGGCCTGCGCCCGGCAGCAAGCAACCTGACTTCCCAAGTTCACCGCATCGCATAGCCCCCAGAATGCATGAGCAAGAACTCGTTCTTGGCGCCGGACACGCACTTATCCTGGAAACGCTACAAGCATCAACCAGTAGTAAGCGTAGCGGCGTAGCCCCACAGAGTTTTCGCTAGAACACCAGGGAAACGGGTGCTTTCACAGTGATCCACACACTATCATGCAACCCAAAGCTGAGGCCAGTTCCTGAATCGTTCAGTGCTTGAACACAGAACTCGCCGACATATTACCAATTGAGTCTTCCAGTCGCTTGCCCTGCAGATGCTTTCCGAGACATTATCTGATTCATAAGATTGGAAAACACCACGTAATTCCTCCTCTCGACGATGGAGTGTCACTGCAGCATCACATGGCATCGCCAAACCCGTAGCACCGACAGAGACCGAAAGCTGAATGGCAAAGCACGAAATACCGACCAATATGAGACCAGAAAAGGAGGACCAAAATGAGGCAAGAAAAGGACGTTCTACCAGGCAAGGCGCAGGTAAATCCCCCCACTGCACGTCACAACACCTGGAGACGGGAACACACCATGGCGAGTATTCAGCACCAAGACACAGGACATCAGACACCTGGAGGACACCTGCACAACAGCAAACAGCATTGCCAGGTTCAGGACACTGGGTTCGTCAACAGCAGTGTAATGACCTGAACCACGGCACAGACACGACGAGACCGAAGGACATACGACAGAACGGACACCCGAACAGCGGGACCGAGACGTCGGGACATCTGACGAGACATCGGGACACCGACTCAAAGATCCGCCTGGGCCTTGACTACTCTGTCTGCTCTCATAACAGGCCCTTCGAGAGCTGCGCTCATCTTAAAGTAGAGATCCACACCGCTGCCACGCTTTGGAGACACCAATGTGCAGACCTGGCCTTCGCAAGCCGAAGTGCCTTCAGCATGCAACGGAGCGCACCAGTTCGATGTGCTTGTATTGTGCTGTCTTCAACAAAAGATGGAATGAGGTCTGAGGTCGAAGCAAGTCCGGTTGGAAGTGAAGCAACGCACGGCTGCCCCATGATGTGCGCATATGAACAGAGACTGAGAGTTGTGTGAATGTCACCGAGAGGCTTTGTTAGCATTTCGCTCCTATCGTGCTGCCCTCCGACACCAACAACGTGTTTGGCTGGCAGACTCTTATCTTGGATCTCCAGGTCACACATTCTGAGCAGCTGGAACTTGAACATCAATGGACTGGCCGATACTTGCTACTACAAGCTCAAAGGCAGGCCAAGAAAACAATTTCGGGTGTGCGTCCTGTGCTTTGGCTGCTTAAAGTGCCGACCGACATAGTGATGCCAGGTACGGCCTGCAATGGCAGTAAAGTGTCTTGATGTGCACGGCCTAGCCGCCTAGCCCGGGCCCCCGCCTGTGTTGCAATGAGCCCTCGAGCAGCAGTGAAACTCATGGTGCTTGGCGGTGCAGGAGTGGTCTGACGAGCCACAGTGCAGACCACCTTCGCTGCTTTCCATGTTCTCACACACAAGCAGCACGAGAAGCAATCCTCGCGCCCATGCCTGTCGACTCGGCGTTAAACAGCCAGGATTCGGAGAGTCTGCCTCCAGACATATGGCCATAGCTCGACTTCAACACATTCTCAGATCTGAGCATGCTGCATCACCAGTGCTCGAGGAAGGCGGTGTATGCACCTGTTGACTGTCGCTCTGTTCGTGCGTCTGGGCTTGGTACACCCTTGCGCAGCCAGGATAGATACCAGACGCCCGGAGAAGCCATGTACACCAAACAGACAACCAACCTACAGGCAAAGCAGCGAATCGATCCAAGCACGAAGCTTCCCTGCCAGACACGCCGCGTCAAAACAGGGGGTCGGCGCCGGGGTGCGCACTTCTGCGCTCCTCCCACCCGGCAACCGGCCGGTCGGGGCGCGTGCCGGCCGGAAGGTCTCCGGCGGAGTCAAGAAAAAGGATCGGCACCCGAGCCCTGACGCTTGTTCCTACACACAAGTATTGTGTCTTACTAGATACGGCAACGCCGCTTGCAAGATGCCGTGCGTTTGAGGATATTTTACAGGTCAGGAATGAGGGCTTGGATGTCGCAAAACCTGGCGGCACGCAAGGCCCGTGTGCGAGGGTGCAGTTTGAGAACGCCGAATACACCAAGGGCCTTCCATTCTGAAGCTTGCAGCCACCTTTTTGGATTCCCAAAGGCGGGCCGTGCATAAGTTCTGATACAAAGAAAACTGTATGCATCAAGCCGAATATCCGGCCAGTGGCCCATCTACCCTTGAGATAAGTCATCCGGGCGGGATGGGCGGACAAACAAAAGGTGCCGCCCTGCAAGCCACTATGGCTCCGGCGGCAATGTCTCAAGCTTAAAGATGGAAATGACCCTACCCAACCATCCATCCATTTCCCTTCAAAAGGTGGGAGGCACGGCAATTTCGATAGTGTAGATTTGAAGGGAAACCGATCTGCATGTGTGATTGCGTGATGGGTCAAAGGTTTCCACGAGGTGTGCAGCAAGGACATCAACCGCGAGTCTGCAGCCAGTTTCCCCTGCTGTGTAAACGTTGGGGCGAGGCACGTGTTGATTTAGACTTCGGGGCCACTTCCTAAAAGCTTTCGGCGAAGAAGGGAAGAATCACATCTGAGGCTTGAAGGCTAAGCCCCGTACTGTTCTGGGCTTGGGCGTAAGCCCAAAAACTTAAGCAAATGCTCAAATGGTTTCTGTGCCCGTGCGCTTTGGGAATGTTTTCCGTTCAGGGCTCATTTTCGACGAGCTGTCTAGCGGCTAGCGTTTTCAACATTGATTTTGGTCTTCAGTCTAAAGACTATAGATCTAGGACTGGTAAAAGCTTGATTGAGTGAAGGCGAAGCCATTAGAAGCATGTCTGCTGTTCTTACTTGCCGGCCAGGCCTTCCATGTTTCAGTACAGAAAGGGAAAAAGTCGTAGGGTCGTAGGGTTCGGCTGTTCCAAACAAAGACTGTGCGAGGCTCTTTCATGAAGGCCGCACCGGCGAGACTTCTTGGACGTGAGCTCCCTCTACCCATCTCCACTCGAATCGGCGAAGCCCCGTAAAATGCACAAGCGTGCATGCCCGTACGCCTGCGTGCAAGCACCCTCCCGTGGAACAAACATCAAGGCATGCCAAATGACACCTGGATGCCAAACGCAGCGTCGCTCAGCCAAAGAAAGCTGGTACAAATAGCGAGCACAAAACGAAGTTGGGCACATTGGAAACACGGAGTCACATGGCCAAGTTTTCAATGCACGTGTACTTGGATTTGCACGACAGCCAACGACAGCTGCACGTCATTTCAAACTCGCCAGCGCTGCCAAGACTCTTCCACTTGCCACTGCAACAGGAGACATCACGCAAGGCCATGGAAAGCTTCTGGGCTGCGGTGGCGTGAATGCAAGCCTGGCTGCCTCGGGGGCGACAGAGACTCCACACTAAATTTCTCCCAGCATGCTTCTTCAAGCCTGCGCAGTCCCAGGCCATCCAACGACTGAGCCTAAAACGGAGACATGTTGCCAAAGGCAAGCCCCCCAACGAAAACGCGTCGGAAAATGTCGGCGCTTGTTACGATCCCTTGGCGCCTCCAGGCCTGTGCTCCACTTGCACAGGCGTCTGTGACAAGCTTCCTACCTCGGACGAATTTCCAGAAGCTCGCCCAAACACTCTCTTGCACATTATGTATGCTTCTGATAAGGCACCGGTGAGGCAGTGGACGAAAAAGAACTCCACGAAGCAACCGGATATGCTGGCAACGTTGTGTGAGGAGTGCACATGACAGTCTCGCAGCAAGGCCTCTGCTGGAAGATGCCGCGCTCGTTGCACCAGTCCTAGGCCAAACAACAACCAGAAGCAACTGTGATGTGTCGGTGATGGCTGTTCTGTACGCGCACCTTTGCTGGTTGCGGATAGGATCCATGGCAAACGGTCACCGTCTCTCGAGGAGCACCCTGCATACAATGTATGTGTGCTTCATCCCAGAACTGCTTGCAATTTGCACCAAGCATAGCTGATACCACATTTGCTGAACCCTCCAAGCCTAACCCCCGTACTGTTAAACAGACCGAACAAGACGGCAGATCTGCTTTCTAGTGCCGCATCAAGAACCGAAACAGCTCTTTAATGCAAAAGACAAACATGCCAGGACGTTAGGCGAAGCTCAGATTTGCGACGGCAGACCAGTCGGAGCACAAATGCGAACCCAGCAGTGAACCTTTGACAAAAACGCACATTGGCATCTGAAAGAAGTAACAAGAGAAGAAATCTTTTTGCACCATGCACGTCCTCGCGCACGATGCTTCTCCAATTCACAGTTGGGCACAGATATCTACGTCAGGCATGCCCGAAGATGAGCTTGGACGTCTCCCCGTGACCGTTCACCTCAACAACTACAGCTCGGGACAAGCACAAAAGATCCTGTAAATACGAAAAGAGAAGCCGAGCTGGTGTCGGTGATTATTTCACTGTGAAGGAGATGAACAACGCCGCCTGCAATGCTTCCTGCACAAGCCACAAGCCTGGCTTCTAGCAACTGCTGCATTTCGCTGCAACCTCCCAGGAGCTGGAAGAAGCAATAGCGCAAGGCTGTTTTGGTAGCAGCCCATCCTGCGTTGCAATGTCCGCCACTGGCATAGCACGACTGCAAAATGCTGGCGCGAGAGGCTATGCCTATGTCCCTTTCACTTGCATGATGTGTCTCCTCCAGTGCTTGCTGCAATCCCGATCTGTCAGCAAGTCGGCAGAGGTGGAGATGTTAGCGATGTCATGCGACTCGCTGGGTTCGAAGGATCACCGAGGCCCACGCAGACACGGCAGGGTTCAGGCAGGCTCCCGAGATATTGCCAGCTGAAGCACCACCCACCACAATGCAAAGTCCTTGCACGAAAACTTGTTGGAGCCTTTTTCCCACGGCAGTGGCGCCATGAAGAATACATTTTGCTAAGTAAGAGCTCTCTTACTTGCATGCGCACGCAGCCCGGCCTATTGCCAATCCGAAGAGCTGCGAGCTCTTGGTTTTCGGCGATACAGCAACTCCGAGAACCACGAATGCCAGAAGCGCAGTGAAGAACCTGAGGACTGCCGAAGTTGCCTTATGATGGAGCACGATCCACGCTTAGGAGGCTGCATCTCAGCAACGGCAGCTGCAGCCAGGCTGAAGCCTTGCAAGGCTTTCTGGATAGCATGCAATCAACTTGTGCATCCGCTAGTTCGCACACCTTGGCCAGGACCCAGCACAAAGGAGCTGCCATTGTACAGAAGACAAAAGCACCTCTGAGACACGCACACACAAGCACACACACACACACACACATGCACTTCGAACGACTTCTTCAAGACGCATCAACCACCACTATCACGGGAGCCGGACCATCCTGCCAACACACAGCTCAGCAGCTGCGACCCAATGTAGTGAACCTGGCTGGCATGGGGAAACTGCAAGAACAAATCCGTCGAGACACGTCCATCTCAACCAAGTCGGACGGACGGCACGCTTGGGGGTCATGTCTGCATCCTGGCTCTTCCAACAATCACAAAGTGCTCCATGTTCTCAGAATCTCGGCCGCGGCACATGGCCACTCAGCAGAACTGCCACTGTAACTGCAGGGTTGAAGTGCGCACCGGACCTGCCACGAACAACACAAAACACGAAAAGGCGTGAGCAAACAAAGAAGAGGCAAAGGAAGGGAAAAAGCTTGCATCACAAACACACTCGACTTAGATCTGAACACGTCTCCCAGGGCGTAGACCAGACTGCAGAGGCACCTCCAAGCAGTCGGCAAAAGAACTAGAGGCCGACTCCTTGCAGCCTCACATAGAACATGGCCTCACCCTTACATCCCAAAGCCGACATGCCGGACGGGCCCGGCGATCGCGACAACGGCCATCGACGTTTTCGCAAGCGCAGAGAGGCCAACGGTCACCACCTCGTTGTGTCTCGCTTGCCCAGGTAGGGTACTCGGGGCTGGGCGTGCCAAAGCAAACGTCCCAATGATCTCGCTGATCAGCCTGCCAAGGTCTGCAGAATCTGCCGAACCTTGGTGAGCTGAGCGTCTGCTAAACCGATCGGCCTCGTCCTTGGTGACTCGGGTTCGTCGAAATCCATCGGCCGAACCTGGGAAACGTCAAGTAAAGTGATCCCAGATACGCTTTCAAGTCAGGACCCAGAAGCTGGCACCACGAAACACGACGTTGCAACAAGCAGCAACCCGCAGATTCAGTTGGAGCGATTGAAGGCTGGTTCCCTCTTCAACCCAACCGTTCTGTCTCCCGTCTGGATTTCCTGACTCTGATGCGAGACTGATGGCCAGCCACTGGGCCACAGTTAGCTGGAGACAACTTGCAGCTTACCGACAAAACTAATGTCCTCCAGTCTGCGAGGCCTGGCTGCAAGATTGTGCATCCAAGTCGCCACCTTGAAGAGAAGTGCAGCAATGCCTGCTCCCAGCCTTGATCTCAAAAACGCTTCGGCACGGTCAATGCGGTGCATCTGTCGAGCTAAACCATGCTCAGCAAGGGACAACTGGAAGATTGCGTACACCAACGACTTTCCAAATCCGGCACCTGCCATGCGCGAGCGACGGAACGACACAGAGCAGAGCAAAGTGCAAGTGACTTGTTCCAACCTGCCTGCTCCTGCAAAATCGACGCCTGAAATATGCCGTATCTTGACGAATGCATGAGCAATTACCATCCACCAGCAAATTCCAAGCCCAAAGCCCACCGTGATGGCAGGATTGAGGAGGCCTCACGCCAACAAACACGAAGGAAACTGTCGAGATAGTTGCACGCATGGCAAAGTCGCCGATTCTTCTGGCTGGCTGGATGCAACGTGCAACGGTGTTTGCTGTGCGTCTGCTGATATTCCACAGCAAGAGAAGGGCCTCCAGAGACGGGCCCTGCAGCATAGGAGGCTGCAAGGGCCATTGCTCCGATTGCCATGCCGTAGAACTCGTTCCTCCAGCTGCTCGCAGAGTCGGCGAACAACAAAGACGCACAGGACTGCTTGGGCACGCACCCTTCTGAGCTGTAAGCTCTTGCTGCAGTGGTGTTCAGGACCTCGAAGTGCAGGAGGCTTCTCACATTCAAGACGGCACACTAAAGATCGAAGACAGAACCTGATCGCTGAGGCCAACTGCTACGAAGCAGAAGAGGCAAGAGTACATGGCTTCGCAGAAGCAGGCATCGACCCAGCCTGGTATAGCCGCGATTCCAAATACCCCTTAGAGTATCTTGGTGGCACCGAGTCGACCACTAAATCCGGCTCCAGGCCCAAGCCTGCGCAGCTGGAGAGCTTCCGCACGTCCACGACAAGTCAACGCATTTTTGAGCGCTCCTGAAAGAATCCGCGAAAACGTTGACCTGCAGAAGCATTGATCCGTGCCGCAGGCATCCGTTGTCGGGGCTGTGAAATGTTAACCTCTTATCGCCTGAGGCCAGTGCAAAACAGAATCCGCAGCAGATCCCACCTACCAGCTGGACCTCTTGTGAGGTGCTGCAGGCAGTGGCAAAGTCAGACAGCAGCTGGTGCCCCGATCATTCTAAGCACCGAACCAAAACATACATCCCCGCAACAGAGGCATCAAGTCCTGGCCTAGGTTCACGAACAGGGACGGATTGGCCCCCTTGCAAGCCTCTGGCAAGCCTGTGAAGGCCGAGATCCCGACCCGCCGAGCCTCTTGCTCAGATAAAGCCTCGAAGGCGTGGCAGCGCACTGCGACATACTGCGACGAAAGTGAGGACATACGCTAAGTTCAGGTCGCTAGAGTGACAGCCGGAGAAAAATTCGCACCAGAAACTCCGGCAAGCGCATAAGTCAGCACAGTCCTGGCGATGTACCAACTCCTTCTGTGTCTGACTTCATCCGCACGGCTTTGTGGATGCAACCCAACAATTGCGCTCAGAGTTTCACCAAGTTATACAGCCCCGTGCACCAAGCTTGGCCAGGGCGACAACGTCGTCGCTAGCGATACACCGCCGAGCACAGCGGCCCCAGACAATACATTGAAGCCTGACTGCGCTTGGTGCTGGCGCCCTGTTTTCGGTCGGGCTGTCGACTTCATGGTGTTGCCATACGTCACACATGTGACATGCACTGCATTGTTAAAGGGTGATTCGGGGCCCCAGCGAAAGTCTCAGGATCGTTTATGTGAGCAGATGTGTTGGGTCTGGTTGTGTTGGCCGCTTTTGACTTTCACTCTTGGGCGAAAGAGCTTCTCGACGTAAGTTGGATGTCTGGAAATGGGCACTTTCCTAACAAAGCCCAGCACACGCGAGTTTGTCGAGTCTTACCATCTTACAATCTTACAAGCAGGTTGCAAACAAATCAAAAGGAATGGTTAAATAACAGAGACAGGACGTGAAAGTACAACCCGATCAAAAAACACCGGAGAACAACATCATCCAGGAAAAGACTAACCAACTCGGATCAAGGATTGCATGCCAAAGTCCTTGCTTGGGTGGAACATTCAGTAGAACATGTCACCCATGCACCAAACTCATGCCGAGGTGAACACCAACTGTGAAGAATGGCAGAAAAGCACCGATAAACTCGGCTACACAGCGCAGCAGCAGCGGCGTGTCAGCCTGGCCACGAGACACTTCATGGACATCGTCCCGTGGGTACAGATGCCAAGAGTAAACCTTCACCCTGACAAGCATGTGATACACAAATGCAGCAAGCTCCACAAAAGTGCAAACAACCAGCTGCATGAAAGCTCCAACACCGTAACAAAAATAAACCGGCGGGTCTGGCAATGGCCATTTTGACCTGCACGTGTGCCGGCGCGACAGTTCTGTGATATGCAGTGTGCAGCATACAGGTCCACAATGCCCACCTTGCAGCTTCAATGTGCAAGCGAAGCTTGCTGCTGTGGCCCTTGAGAAAGAGCTGCGCATCCATCGGTCAATCAGTGCATCATG